ATAGATAGATAGATGGATGATGGATGGGTAGACAGACAGAGAGAAAGAAACAGAGAGAAAGAAATAGAGATAGATAGAGTGATAGATAGATAGGTAGATGGATGGATGGATAGATAGACAGACAGAGAGAGAAAGAAACAGAGAAAGAAATAGAGATAGATAGATAGATAGATAGATAGATAGATAGATAGATAGATAGATAGATGATGGATGGATGGATAGACAGACAGACAGAGAGAAAGAAACAGAGAGAAAGAAATAGAGATAGATAGATAGATCACACACATACAGAGAGAAACAGAATGAAACACAGATAGACAGACATAGATAGACAGACAGACACATAGAGAGAAAGAAATAGAGATAGAAATAGAGATGGATGGATGGATGTGAATGGAAGGACAGACACACACACACACACACAGAGAGAGAGAAAGAAAGAGAGAGAGAGAGAGAGAGAGAGATCACACACACACACATAGAGAGAGAAACAATGAAATACAGAGATAGGCAGACATAGATAGATAAACAGACAGACACATAGAGAAAGAAATAGAGATAGATAGATAGAAAGATAGATGATAGATCACACACATACACAGAAAGAAACGAGAGGGAGAGAGGAAATGAATCACACCATTGTTAAGTGAATCTGGCTTCCCCCATTGAGTTGACAGGTGGCAAGTGGTGACCATGGGAAACCGGGAGGCTGCCGCTGCAACCATTGTAAATCCTTGCCTGTTGTGCCTGAGTTTCGATTGCGTGACTGTGGAGAGGCTGCAATGGTTATAAACTTGGGAACCGGTTGCAAGTCACATTCCCCCCAACCCCACACCCCAGCCAGAGCCATTGTAACTTTGAATGGTTGTGACCTCCATAGGGATACAGTGTCAAAAAAACCCTTCGCTCTTCTCAGCGTTGTGGCCCAAGATCGTTATTTTTCTGAGTTTTAATCCAAGCAGAGTTCGTTTTCTTTAGCAGTTTTTTAAAGCAGTCTTCTTCAGTTAGATCTCAACCATGGCAACTTTAGCTTAGACTTAGACTAACGTTCTCGTCACTTTGAATGTAGACTAATCGGCATGCATTAAAATGAAATTTTGTTGCATGCAGCTCTCAAAGGGTCACCACCTCCAATATACATTACCAAGGGTGGGCTGCCTGGGGTTTGCAGGGGTTTGGGAGAACCTCTAGCTAAGATTCTGTGCAGTTCGGAGAACCCCCATATCCCACTCCTGGCTGGCCCTGCCCACCCCGCCCCATCCCTCCCAGGAGTCCCCACGTGGCCCGTTTTGGATGCAGGTAAGTGCAGGGCGCGCATGGAGGCTCGGGGAGGGTGAAAAATGGGCCTACCAGAAGTTTGGAAAGGCTGGAAACCCAGAGGGCCTCTGGAGCCTGGGGAGGCCATTTTCGCACTCCCAGAGGCTCGAGGAAAGCCTCCGGGGCCCAGAGAGGGCAAAAATGCCCCCCGCTCACCGTGGTGCAGGAGGATGACTAGGCCACGCCCACCATGGCCATGCCGACCCAGCAACTGGGCAGAAAATCCCTTGCTAAAATTTTTGAAGACACCCCTGTACACTACACAATATAACAGAATAAATAAATAAATACAAATATAAATACAGAGTCTAGTTCAGATGAATACCTGTACATGGCGAGAAAAACGAATCTTACGAATTTACCAGACGGATGGCCTAGGGAACAAAGCTGTTATTGTCCTGCTAGAAATACTTCGAAACCTCCTCCCAAAGGGGAGCACCAAAAACAGACCATGAGGTGGGTGTGTAGGGTCTCTAACAATGCTTCGAGCTCTAAGCATATAGCGCATATAGAGCAATATCCTGAATAAAGGGAAGTGAGCTTCCTTATAATCTTCTCCGCTGTCCTCACGACTCTCTGTAGGGACTTTCTATCTGAGGCACTGCTGCCACCAAACCAAACAGGGATGCAGTTTATTAAAAACGCTTTCAATCGTGCCTCTGTAAAAAAAGTGGCCAGGATAGAAGGAGAAAGACGTGCAGGTGGGTGAACTTCAACTCCCAAAATTCCCCAGCCAGCAGCACTAGAAGTCTACCCACTTTAAACTTGCTCTCTTCGATGCGAGTGGACATTCCTGGAAAGCATGATCTGTCCTCAAGCACGTAAAAACCAGGCAGATAAAACTGGAATTTTTTTCCCCACCTTCTTGATTGCTTTAACCATGGTTCTGTGGACACCACAAAGAGAGAGGAACGAACTTTTCAAGCCCCCTGAGAAAGCTGAAAAAAGAAGTTATTTTTTTCCCCATGGGAAGAAAACAGGCGTTGGAAGGCAGTTTTGAGTTTCACAGCTATTGCAGCTTAAATTAATTTACTTTGCAGCCTTTGGCTTCAGCCTGAGTTTCTGCAGCGGCTGCTTGTTCACCTCACCTAAGAGGATCACTGTAGATCTAAAGCCTGCTTAATCTTCCCAAGATTTTAGCACATTGAGGGTTGTCAAAGTCCATTCAGACATGAAACTGCAAAGAATAGAATAGAATAGAATAGATGGAAGGGACCTTGGAGGTCTTCTAGTCCAACCCCCTGCTTAGGCAGGAAACCCTACACCACTTCAGACAAATGGTTGTCCAATCTCTTCTTAAAAACTTCCAGTGTTGGAGCATCCACAACTTCTGGAGGCAAGTTGTTCCACGGATTAATTGTTCTCACTGTCAGGGAATTTCTCCTTAGTTCTAAATTGCTTTTCTCCTGGATTAATTTCCACACATTGCCTCTTGTCCTGCCCTCAGGTGCTTTGGAGAATAGCTTGACTCCCTCTTCTTTGGGCAGCCCCTGAGATATTGGAAGACTGCTATCATGTCTCCCCTGGTCCTTCTTTTCATCAAACTAGCCATGCCCAGTTCCTGCAACTGTTCTTCATATGTTTTAGCCTCCAGTCCCCTAATCATCTTTGTTGCTCTTCTCTGCATCTTTTTATATGGCGACCAAAACTGAATGCAGTATTCCAAGTGTGGCCTTACCAAGGCATTATAAAGTGGTATTCTAACACAATAACTGGAAGAACCCTATTTTCATGCTAGACCTATTCGGATTGGTTCTCCTTCTTTGGGGTTTTAATGGAAGGGTATGAAACCAGGAAGCTCGCAGTTCAGTGAAGTGATAGCAATTGTACATTGAAATACTCAGACTCTCACTCATTTTGACCACCACATAACTAATAAACACAAGAATGCAATACTCCATCTGAATAATCAAGGAGAGATTCACCCTACAAATAAGGAGAACTTTTCTGACAGTGAGAGCAATCAACCCATGGAACAGAAGTTACCTTCAGAAGTTGTGGAAGCTTCATCATTGGAAGCTTTCAAGAAGAGATTGGACTGCCCTCTGTCAGAAATGGGCGTAGGGTCTCCTGCTTGGGTGGGGGGTTGGACTAGATGACCTACAAGGTCCCTTCCAACTCTGTGAATCTATCAATCTGTTAATGCTTGGATACTAACTTTCAAAACTATTTGGAATGTAAGTTCTCCTTCACTGAACTTTTGAGAATGGTCACGTTTGCCCTCGCAACTCTTCCTCACATTGTCCACAAAACATTTGTTTGTTTGTTTGTTTGTTTGTTTGTTTGTTTGTTTATTTATTTATTTATTTATTTATTTATTTATTTATTTATTTATTTATTCGATTTATATGCCGCCCTTCTCTGGAGACTCAGGGCGGCTTACAATGCGTTAAGCAATAGCCTCCATACTTTTGTATATACCTGCTTAGTAGGGCTGTCGGCCCCCCCTAAGCGGTGTTCTTTTTTATATAAAGTCAGCTTATTGCCCCCACAATCCGGGTCCTCATTTTACCTACCTCGGAAGGATGGAAGGCTGAGTCAACCTTGAGCCTGGTGAAATTTGAACTTGCAGTAATTGCAGGCAGCTGGTGCTACTAAACAGCACTTTAGTCTGCTGCGCCACCAAGGCTTTTGGTGTGATGGTTGTTTTGTGTCTTGTTGGGCCAGGCCCACCTTTTAGCTATGCCCTTTCTCTCCGTTGCTATGGCTACCGCTATTTTACATCATCCAGCTCTCTAATCATCCTATTCCAGCATCTTCTGGGCTGTTAATCAGATTAAGGGGTAGACTTGCCAGAGAGAGAAACCGGATGATATGATACTGCTGTTTGGCAGCTGGAAATTTAACTGTCTGTGGGAAAGTGGATGAGGAGGAATGCCACGTGAGAGGGAAACGGTGTGATCTAGTGGTTAAAGCATCAGGCCAGAAAGTGAGTTCTAGTCCCATCATGAAAACTGACTGTGTAACTTTGGACCAATCACCAAGAAACAATGAGTTCTAATCCCATTTTATGTTGTGGTCCGCCAGCAGCCTGCAGAGCTGGCAACGGAGTCGGAGAGTGAGGAGGCCGGGGAGGACAATGGGCCAGTCCTGGAGGCTGGGGAAGGCCCAGACGAGGGCTCTGCTTTGGAGGCAGAGATGGGGCCATTCTTATTCCAATATTCCTATTCTATTCTATTCTATTCTATTCTATTCTATTCTATTCTATTCTATTCTATTCTATTCTATTCCATTCCATTCCATTCCATTCCATTCCATTCCACTCCACTCCACTCCATTCTACATTCTGTTCTATTCTATTCTATTCTATTCTATTCTATTCTATTCTATTCCATTCCATTCCATTCCATTCCATTCCATTCCATTCTACATTCTATTCTATTCTATTCTATTCTATTCTATTCTATTCTATTCTATTCTATTCTATTCCATTCCATTCCATTCCATTCCATTCCATTCTTCATTCCAATATTCCTATTTTATTCTATCCCATCCCATACCATTCCCATGGGTTTTTATTGTATGATGGATTTTTAAAAATGTTCTGAGCTGCTTGGAGTCACCTATGGGCGAGTTGGGTGGCTATAAAAATGTGTTTAACAAATGAACAAGTTCTGTGTTTATGTGCGTCCTTCTGAGGCTCCGTATTCCAGCTCATCCTCCCTTTTACTCTGCTCTTTCAGGACATTAATGGGACCACATGGGATGGATCGTCACATGCATTGTTTTGACTTCTACGACTGTGCCAATGGCTTGGGTGAGTGCCCCGGATTTGAAAACTGAGCCGTAGAATTTCAATCCATTTGTTTTTGTCCATCATTCTTCAGATCCACAGTTAAGTCCTTTGGATTTTCCTTCTTCCCCTTTCCCTCTTTCTCTCGTTTTGTTTGTCATACTTCTGTCATGGGATGGCGATTTTACTGATGCCCCACAAGGAGGATTTCAAAAATGGCAAGATGGTGGCTGGGACCATTTGACTAAAGCCCCACATCATTTTTTAAAAAATGTGTGTTGCAATACCGATAATAATAATTTATATGTTGCCCAACTCCCAGGGACATGTATAAATAGGTCCCACTTCAAGGCAAACCACACTCTGTTCTAGCACTGATGCTGATGTTGCTGCCTAGTTGGGTAATGAAACATTTGCAAGAAAACCACCAAGCTCAGAGAGCACCAAGGACCCCACAGTCCTCCTCCTCCTCCTCCATCTCCACCTCCACCTCCACCTCTTCCTCTCCTCCTCCTCCTCCATTCTGCAAACCCTCCTCCCTTCTAGCACTGATTACGTTACCTAGTTGGGTAATGAGACATCTGCAAGAAAACTACCAGGCTCAGAGAGCACCAAGGACCCCACAGTCCTCCTCCTCCTCCCTCCCTCCCTCCTCCTCCTCCTCCTCCTCCTCCTCCCTCCTCCTCCTCCTCCTCCTCCTCCTCCTCCTCCTCCTCTTCAAACCCCACTCCTTTCTAGTACTGATGATATTACTTAGTTTGGTAATGAAATGTTTGCAACAAAACTACCAAGCTCAGAGACCACCAAAAATTCCACAGTCGTCATCCTTTTCCTCGTCCTTTTCCTCGTCCTCGTCCTCCTCCTCCTCCTCCTCCTCCATTCTGCAAACCCTCCTCCCTTCTAGCACTGATGATGTTACCTAGTTGGATAATGAAACGTCTGCAAGAAAACCTCCAAGCTCAGAGAGCACCAAGTACCCTACAGTCCTCCTCCTCCTCCTCCTCCTCCTCCTCCTCCTCCTCCTCCTCCTCCTCCTCCTCCTCCCATTCTTTTTTTCCTCCACTCTGCAAACCCTACTCCCTTCCATCACCGAAGATGTTATCTAATTTGGTACATCTAAAAGGTCTGCAAAAAACAAACCAAGTTCAGAGAGGACTCCATGGACTCATTAGATCCTCTCTTCTCCCCTTTCCCGTTTTTCTCCGATGGGCCAGGTTGGCTCCCAGATCTCAACGTTGCATCGCAATGGCTAAAGGTCAGAAAAAGGAGACTTGAGCCTAATTTTAGCCATGCCAAGGCTGGCATTGACGTAGCCATTAATAGCCCCGATAGTAGCATCTAATTCTGTCCTTCTGCTTTTAGTCCCATAGAACAAACTCATCAGCTCATGTTGTCTTCATTGCTTGTTAATCTGCGGGCTGTTTTTCCCAGAGCTTTCTCTAATAAGAGGTTAGCCCTGAGCAAGTGATATTAAGCAGATATGAATGAGTTATAGTGGAGGCAAAAACTGGGTCAAGGATTATTCCAGCAGCCAGACTCTGCAATTTGAATCTCCCCCCCCCACCCCCACCCCTTACAAATCATGCTTCCGGATGCACAGCTCAAGACAATAAGAAAATATTTCTTTTCACAGCTTCCAATTAAAGCAGAACCAATGTACGATCTGATATTCCCTTCCCTTTAAAATGTAACACATTTAGGAAAGCAAAAATGAATACGTCTAGGGTGCCAGACAGGTATTCAATCATTCCGGTTTTTTTCCCCAACATACTTTCCACCTTCCCCTTTCCCCCTCATAAAAATAGAACAGGGAATAATAGGGCTGGAAGGGGCCTTGGAGGTCTTCTAGTCCAGCCCCCTGCTCAAGAAAGCGACCCTATAGCAGGGGTGTCAAACTCGATTTCATGGAGGGCCGCATCAGGGTTGTGTTTGACCTCGAGGGGTCAGGGTGGGCGTGGCCAGGGTGGGCGTGGCCCAGTGGTGGGTTTCAATTTTTTTTACTACCGGTTCTGTGGGCGTGGCTTGGTGGGCAGGCCTTGGTGGGCGTGGCAGGGAAAGGATACTGTAAACTCTCCATTCCCACCTCAATCCAGGGGAAGGATACTGCAAAATCCCCATTTCCTCCCGATCAGCTGGGACTTGGGAGGCAGAGAATAGTTGGGGGCGGGGCCAGTCGGAATTTTTACTACTGGTTCTCCGAACTACTCAAAATTTCCGCTACCGGTTCTCCATAACTGGTCAGAACCTGCTGAAACCCACCTCTGGCGTGGCCAGCTCAATGTCATTCCTGTCGGGGGCGCCTGTGGTGGCCCGAGCACTCTGCCAGCAAAAACGGGCTCCTGAGCTCATTTTCGGCTGCCATGGCCTCCTGCAACCCTCTGCCAGTGAAAATGGAGCTTGGAAGGGCCGTGTGCAGCCATTCATCATACAATTTAGCTTCTAGAACTCATCATCTTTGTTGCTCTTCTCTTCACTCTTTCTAGAGCCTACAATCTCAAGGGAGAGAATTCCTTCTTAAACTCACCTTTCAGGGTTCAAACAGCAACGTGGAATCCAGGTGGACACCCTAAAATATGGGAAAAGTTTCATTGATGTTCTATTAATTTCTGTACATGGTTATTCAAAAGACTGTGAAGCAGGGGTGAAATCCAGCAGGTTCTGGAGAACCGGTAGTGGAAATTTTGAGTAGTTTGGAGAACCGGCAAATACCACCTCTGGCTGGCCCCAGAGTGGGGTGGGAATGGAGATTTTGCAATATCCTTCCCCCAAGAGTGGGGTGGGAATGGGGATTTTACAGTATTCTTCCCCGCCACGCCCACCAAGCCATGCCCACAGAACTGATAGTAAAAGAATTTGGATTTCACCACTGCTCTGAAGTGAATTGTTTATAAAGGGAATAAAATAGAAACACAGATGCGGAACTTTTAAAAGCTGGTATATTTAAAAGGGGGCTATCTTAAGATAAACAGCAACAACCAGAGTCTTAAAAAATGATACTTGCTGGTGCCTTAAATGCAAAAGGATTGATAAAATATAAACTTTTGATTTGTTCTGGATTTGTAATGGGAAAAAGGAAGATTTGGCTATTAGAATCTGGAATTTGGGACTGCTTTTGCTTTTTTTGCTGTCTCCCAGAGCACTGCTGATACTTTTGAAGCACATTTAATGTAAGAGAAACCCAAATGAAATACAATAGATGTTTAAATTAAAAATCAGCAGCTGAGGGAGAAGTCACTATCACCAATAATATATTTCCCCTGAAAGTTTTCCATATGAACCCCAGAGAGAGAAGCTTGACCAATTCTTTATAAGGAGAATTGTCACTTTTAATGTGTGTGTATGTGTGTTTGTGTGTAATCTTCAATTTACAACAGTTTTTAGTGACCGTTCAAAATTACAACAGCCATGAAAAAAGTGACTGGTGACCATTTTTTTTCATGTACGACCGTTGCAGCGATCCCCAGGGTCACGAGATCAAAATTCAGACATTGGCAACTGATTCATATTTATGACGGTTACAGTCAGTGGTGGGATTCAAATAATTTAACAACCGGTTCTCTGCCCTAATGACCAGCTGGGTCGGCGTGGCTCGGTGGTCATGTGACCATATGAGCGTGGCCAACTCAACGTTACTCATGTCGATGGGCGCTTCACCTTAGCTGTTACAATGTAGTAAGGGTTAACCAGAGAGGCAGTTTCTGTAAGCAGGGCAATAAAGATTAGGCTAGAAACACCACCAGAATGTTTCCTTCCTGCCTTCCTTACAGGATTAGCCCTGTAAAGTGGTGGTGGTGGGGAAAATATTTCTTCCAACAACCGGTTCTCCGAACTGCTTAGAAAGTTAACAACCGGTTCTCCTGAATAGGTGCGAACTGGCTGAATCCCACCACTAGTTACAGTGTTCTGAGGGTCACGTCATCCCCTTTTGCGACCTGCTGATAAGCAAAGTCATCGGGGAAGCCAGATTCACTTAACAACCACATTACTGTCTCAACAAGCGCAACGATTCGCTCAACAACCCTGGTGAGAAAATTTGTAAAATGGCAGGGGGTGGGGGGGCAAAACTCACTGAACAGCTGTCTCGTTTAGCCACAGAAATGTTGGTCTCTGTTGTGGTCGTAAGTCTTACCTGTATAAGCCAAACAATCACCTTCCCGTCTCTTGTGTTTGTTTGCGTGAGGATGTTTGTTTACCGACAAGAGATGGCCTCCTGCCACACCTTCTGATAGGATTATGTAAATAAAAGGGTAAAGAGAACGAGCGATTTCTCTCACTTTGCAGAATCCTATAAGCTTTTTCTATTTTGTCACTAAAGCTGCACATAAAAATAGATTTCCCTTTTGGGATTAAGGGGTGAACCAGAGGTGACAGCATTTGGGTGAACTCATTTCAAACTTTTCGTTGACTTTGACCGCTAAGAGCCTCTGGGATAAGAATGCATCTAAAAGAGGCCAATTATTACTCGACATCACATGACCCACTGTTAATGATTGTGTTTTCCCTCTCAGTGTTGCATGAACATAAGAGCGCATTCATAAAGTATTCAGATCTCCTTCGCTTTTGTCAGTTTTCTTATGCTGCAACCTGATTCTAGGTAACAGTAAAGGTTCCCCCCGCACATATGTGCTAGTCGTTCCCGACTCTAGAGGGCGGTGCTCATCTCCATTTCAAAGCCAAAGAGCCAGCACTGTCCGAAGACGTCTCCGCGGTCATGTGGCCGGCATGACTCAATGCCAAAGGCTCACCGAACGCTGTTCCCTTCCCACCAAAGGTGGTCCCTATTTTTTTACTTGCATTTTTTACGTGCTTTCGAACTGCTAGGTTGGTAGAACCTGGGACAAGGAACGGGAGCTCACCCCATTACAAGGCAGTAGGGATTCGAACCGCTGAACTGCTGACCTTTCGATTGACAAGCTCAGCATCTTAGCCACTGAGCCACCGCATCCCCAACCTGATTCTAGGGTTGTTGAAATTCATTTTTTCCTCATGAATCTACGCTCCATCCCCTATAATTAATTTAATTTGAATTTAATAGGTTTAAAGACATTTCTAAAATTCTGTTTTCACTTTGTCATTATGGGGTACTGAGTGTAGATTCAATGTAGAATGTAGAATGTACACCAACCCCCACCCGCAGTCACCGCTACCAATTCGCCCAAACCAGCTGAATACCACCTCTGGAAGGAGGTCTGAATACTTTCTGAATGCGCTGTATGTAAGATTGGAAAACCATTTGTCTCAAACGATAAAGGGTCTCTTGCTTGAGCAGGGGATTGGACTACAAGACCTCTGAGTTCCCTTCCAACTCCCTTATTCTGTTATGATGTGAAAACAAAAAGAATCAATCCCCAAAGGAACAGGACCAACTTATATCACTGACAATAGGGGATGAGATCTTGCTCCCCACAGAGAGGGCCTGCAACTTGGATGTCCTCCTGGATTCACGGCTATCTTTAGAAGATCATTTGACGGCTGTGGCCAGGGGTGCCTTTTATCAGGTTCGCCTGATCTGCCAGTTGTGTCCCTTTCTGGATCGGGACGCCTTGCACACAGTCACTCATGCCCTAGTTACCTCCCGTATGGACTACTGTAATGCTCTCTACATGGGGCTCCCCTTGAAAAGCACCTGGAGGCTCCAACTAGTCCAGAATGTAGCCGTGTGGGTGATTATGGGCGCAGCTCGTTACGCCCATGTAACACCTCTCCTACGCGAGCTGCACTGGCTCCCGGAGGTCTTCCGGGTGCGATTCAAGGTGTTAGTTATCACCTTTAAAGCGCTCCATGGCTTAGGACCTGGGTACCTACGAGACCGTCTTTTGCCACCAATAGCCTCCCACCGACCAGTTCGTTCTCACAGGGAGGGACTACTCAGGGTACCGTCAGTCAAATTATGTCGACTGGCGACTCCCAGGGGGAGGGCCTTCTCTGTGGGGGCTCCAACCCTTTGGAATGAACTGCCCCCCCCGGAGATACGGAATATCCCTGATCTCCATGCTTTCCGCCGTGCCCTCAAGACCCTGATGTTCCAACAGGCGGGGCTAAACATACGAACATGTGAATAATTTTTTAAAATGTTATCTAATTCTGGGTTTTATTTAATTGACCAAACTAAGTAATAATTTTAATTAGCAATTTTATGATGTTTGTGTGTCTATATTTTTCTTGACTGTACACCGCCTTGAGTCCTACGGGAGAAAGGCGGTATAGAATAAATAAATAAATAAATAAATAAATAAATAAATAAATAAATAAATAAATAAATAAATAAATAAATAAATATGAAAGAAGCTACATCAATAAATCATTCCTATCACCCATCTCCTCCCACTTATGACTGTATAACTGTAACCTTCTTGCTGGTATCCTTACAATTTATTTTGATTGTTTCCTAGTATGATTCGATTGCTTATTTGTACGCTATGACTATCATTAAGTGTTGTACCTTATGATTCTTGACTAATGTATCTTTTCTTTTATGTACTCCGAGAGCGTATGCACCAAGACAAATTCCTTGTGTGTCCACTCACACTTGGCCAATAAAGAATTCTATTCTATTCTATTCTATTCTATTCTATTCTATTCTATTCTATTCTATTCTATTCTATTCTATTCTATTCTATTCTTAATTCTATCCTATTCTATTCTATTCTATTCTATTCTTAATTCTATCCTATCCTATTCTATTCCTATTCTATTCTTAATTCTATTCTTTATTCTACTCTACTCTACTCTACTCTACTCTACTCTACTCTACTCTATTCTATTCCCTATTCTATTCTATTCTATTCTATTCTATAAACATGGAGCTAATGGTTCTATTTTTGATCTAAACAGAGATGCCCTGAATGCATTCTGCTGCGTTTACCTAATTTTCAATGGAACAAATGCATATTTATTTGAAAGTATTTTCACCCACTCTGGTGTCCCCATTAACTTAAAGCTCCCCTGATTCAGTGAGGGAGAAATTATGATTTTTTCAGACCAGTATGCACACTTACCTTGTGAAGCAGGGAGATGCCTCTTGTGAACGCATTGTATTTCTTTTTTATGGATAGGTATCAAAGTGATCGGTGGCATTAAAGAATTTACGGGTGAGGAATATGGAGTTTATGTCAAGAGAATCCTACCAGGGGGAGTGGCTTACATTGATGGTAAGTTTTTATCACTTACAGCCGTAGCTGGAAATCTCCCCATTAGAGATATTAGCTGTTTGAAAAGTCTTCAGAGCTTCATCAATTAAAACAATTGCAAAATGGATTAGTGGGAACTGGAATCAGAGAAATTTCCTAGAGCAGGGGTTGGCAACCTTAAACACTCAAAGAGCCACAAAGGTCCTAACCGGAAGCCCCCCATTCAATTCTGGAGCCGACCGGAAGACTGGTTCCCTCATCATAGAGTCTCCTCCTAATGTGGCTTCCTTTTTCCTCTACCTGTCCTAACTGAAAGCCCTATCAATTGTGGAGCCGACCAGCAATAGGTTGCTGCAGCAGAGGGATGAAAGAGCCACATGTGGCTCCAGAGCCACAGGTTGCTGACCCCTGTCCTAGAACAACTTTTTTGTCTGCAAAAGGTGTGGTAAAAATTAACCCAATACATTGGGACATGTCTAAAAAATGCATTTTGGGTCCCTGGTCAATGTCATATTGGGGAAATGAAGCAAATACACATGAGTACAACTATTATAGTACATTATCAGCACCAAGGACAGCTCCTCATAGTGTTTATTGGAAGACAGTCTTGGAGACGAGAATCCAAAATTATTGCTTCTGATGTAGCCTTGCGTAAAAGTGCCACCCCCCCCAATTGATCAGAGTTGGTTCTTCTGATATACACCTTCTGAGCGTATGCCTTCTTTGAAAAATGAACCAGAATTATTGGCCCAAAATGTTATATCAGAATAAATTTGGATTTCTCATCATTGGACATTTTTCTCCCTTCCCAAACTTGTGTCTTGAAATAACTCTTAGTTTCACATCCTGATCTAAAGAAAGGGTAAAATGGATTTAGTTAAAATTAAAATAGGAAATGATAGAAAAGCTGTTCGTGAAAGGAAGCTCTGGAAATCAAAGGTTTTATTTTGTAACCGTTGAGCAAAAAGGAGATTTTTATGAAGGTGAATCTCTACCTTCCTTTCTGCTTCTGTCTGCAGCATCCCAAAATGACTCTGTGACACTGAACTTAATGATTACTCATGTTTTGTACTCTTTTCATCTTTGGCTGTTTTAAAACTTAGTAACGATCTTCAGAAAACTTTGAGTAGCTCACACTTAAGGCCTTCAGGGGTTCCAGACTGGGCACCTCTAAAATCAATGATAATTGTTCCATCATCTTAATTGTCAACAGGGTAGTTGTGAAGGTCCAAAATATTCACAACCAATCTTTGGGCATAAAACGTGTACATAATAGCATTACTTCTACGTGACAGTTTCCTCTTCTCTTCTCTTTCCTCCTTTTCTCCAGGTCGTCTACAACCAGGAGATCAGATCTTAGAAGTGAATGGGGACAGCCTGATTGGTGTTACTAACGAGAGGTAAAAATGTATTTGTTGTGGCCCGCCAGCAGCCAGTGGAGCTGGCAGCAGATTCAGACAGTGAGGAGGTTGGGGAGGAACATGGGCCAGTCCTGGAGTCTGGGGAAGGCTCTGATGAGGACTCTGTGTTGGAGGCAGAGATGGGGCCAGGGCCATATGCCAGTTATCAATTGCCTTCGGAGTCAGACATCAGTGAGGCAGACAAACAGCTGGAGCCTGTACCCAGTGTGCGCATGTGCAGAGTTGCCAGATGAAGGGAACAGCTAAAGAACAAGGGTCGACTTGGGAGTAAGGCCACAGGTGGAAGATGAATGGCCCCTCCCAGAGGGAATAAAAGAGGAGCGAAAAAGGAGGGTAGTTTGCAGGAGACAATTAGTTTGCTTAATTGGTTTGTGACTCTCAGAGACTCCTGGCCAAGTTTTGAAGATATCGGCCTGGCAGCTCTCCAAGCCAGATAAGGTCTGTGACTGTAAATTCTCCCTTGAAAGATTTTGTTGAAGGTGAATGAGAAAAATTCACAGTAACTTAATAAAAAGGGGTTTATGTCGGGAGAAGGAGTCTGCTTCATGGTCTTGAAAAGCCTAGGTCAGAACAATATTTTAGAGCTCAGGTTTAATGCTTGCAGATCATGGTTAGTAATGCTAGGGAAAATCATGTCAAGAATTCAATCTGCTTCCGGAATTCAGACTAACAATTCATCCACAAATTAACATGACCTGACTTTATTTTTTGATAATATAATACTAAATTCTTCCTCTGGCCTTTGTTCTCATTGAAGTCCCTTGGTCATTTCTTTCCATGCTTAGGACAATTGCTTACCTTCAGGCAACTCAACACTAAACAAGTCTAACATCCAGGGGTGAAATTCAGCAGGTTCTGACAGGTTCTGGAGAAATTTTGAGTAATTCGGAGAACCTGCAAATACCACCTCTGGCTGGCCCCAGAGTGGGGTAGGAATGGAGATTTTGCAATATCCTTCCCTCAGGAGTGGGGAGGGAATGGGGATTTTGCAGTATCCTTCCCCTGCCACGCCTATCAAGCCACACCCACCAAGCCATGCCACGCCCACCAAGCCACACCCACAGAACCGTTAGTAAAAAAAATTGAATTTCACCAATGCTAACATCCCTCATAAATAAACTAACTAAAGTGGATCCAATATTTTCGCGTTTATCTAAGGAAAAGTCTCTCTCAAATTGGTTTGATTTCTGGTGGCTACACAAACATGTAGGGCCAGAATATCAAATTAATTTGCCTGTTATCTTTATCTGGGATGTTTTTCATCTTCTAAATCTGGCCTGCAGCCATGAGATCTCCTGGTGGTCTCCCCTCCACGTATAAACCAGGTCTTCCTTTTTTAAAAAACAGATGCATCTGCCTATCGGTAATGGCAATACAGAAACAAGTAGGGATAATTGGCCCTACAATAGTTGGGGATGGAAACGGAAATAAAATAGAAGTGAGAAAAATAGAGGAAATGTAAAAGTCTTCAGATGGAGAGTCTAGAAAATGTGGGAAAAAGAAAGCCATACAGGTACCAGTAATGGTTGATGAAGTTGGTGCCATATTAAAATATCTGAAAAAGTGGTTGACACAATTAGAATTGGGAGCGTCTCATTTCATCCATTGCAAAAGAATGTATTTGTGATGACCCAGGACAAGGCACGAAGGTTGTACGGCCAGCTGAGAGTTCAAACTCTCCTTTTATGCTCCAAATTCCCACCCCCAATGCTCCCACATTCTTGGCAAGCCCAAGAGCAAAGCGCGCACGCACACATGGCAGTCTCTGGCTGCGCCCAGTCCAGCAAAACAAAAGAACAGGGAAATGAGTCCACGAAAAGAAGAAACAATGAGTCCACGAAGTAAGGAAGAAGCAAGCAGTCCTGCAAACTCCAAATGTCTGTCCCGGCATACCAAACTCTACAAATTCAGAGTTTGTTCCCAACAAACGTCCCTTCCCACAGCGTCTCCTTAAATCTCAGTCCCCAGGTGTGCCTTGTGAAGAGGGGCGGGCTGCTCTCCTCCCGAGTCGCCAGGTCAGCCTGCGCTGTTCCTGCCTTCTCTCCACTCTCCGTGCTCGGGGATCGGGTGTGTGTGCTTGCTCATCGCCTGAGTTCCGTCACTCCTCATGTCCATTGCTTGCCCTATCTCGGTCATCCTGTCCATGTTCCTCCCTGCTAGCAAGCCGTCCCAATCCTTAGGGCCCCTGGCCTGCCTTGTCCTCCTTCTCCTCCCCACATTCCTCTGAAGCCAATGAAGCCGTCCCCTCAATCTCCATCACCTCCAGCTCTGGCTCATCCTCCTCCGCCGCAGATTCAGGCTCCGAAGGGGGCAGGACAGTGTTACTTGGAACAGTGCATTACATGACGATTGCAACTTTAAGTCACCTGGTTATCTTGGGAAAGTTCAGTCAACAGGACCAAATCCAGTCAATGGATTGTGTAAAAATGATGATTGATGATGTTTTGGGTAGAAGCTGATTACTCTTTCTTTTGAAGAGCATCAACTGCAGGTCCTAATGCATTTCCTTCTCCTTAACTTTCCACAGAGCCGTGGACATCCTAAGGACAGCCTCTGGCACCAGTTATATGCGCCTTCTTGTCACCAGAGATGACGATGCTCGGTAGGTCTTTGGGTTTTTTATTTAGAATGGAACATGGACCTCTTTGGAAGCAATTCTCTATCAGGCTTATTGCGTATAAGGTCACATGGTGTTCAAATGACATGATATGAGAAAAACATCCCCATTATTTCAAGTAACCGGATTTGCTTTCATTAACAGGCTGTGTTGATTTGGCGATTGTTTTACATCATCTTAATTATTTTCTCTAGGAGAGGCAGTGGCTCTGGCTAAGACGTTGAGCTTGTCGATCAAAAGGTTGGCAGTTCATTGGTTCGAATCCCTAGTGCCGGATAATGGGGTGAGCTCCCGTTCTTTGTCCCAGCTTCTGCCAACCTAGCAATTCGAAAGCAGATAAAAAATGCAAGTAGAAAAATAGGGACCACCTTTGGTGGGAAGGGAACAGCATTCCATGCGCCTTTGGCATTGAGTCATGCTGGCCACATGACCACGGAGACATCTTCGGACAGCTCTTCGGCTTTGAAACGGAGATGAGCACCACCCCCTAGAGTCGGGAATGACAAGCACATATCTGCTAGTTTTTCGACTTTTTCTACTTGCATTTTTTATGTGCTTTCGAACTGCTAGGTTGGCAGAAGCTGGGACAAGTAACGGGAGCTCACCCCATTACATGGCACTCGTGATTCAAATCACTGAACTGCCAACCTTTTGATCGACAAGCTCAGTGTCTTAGTTACATTAATATTGCTGCCTTTGAAATGTGCTGGCAGATGTGATTTCCTGAGAAAACCTAATGATAGAATAATAATTTAAAAAAAAAATAAACACAACCCACATCCAGACAGGCCAATGTAGGTGTCTTAAAATCATATTCTGTTTCTTGTTCAGCAAGGAATTCTCTGAACTGCTGGAAAAATTTGGATCTCATAGCAGCACATGTTCTACGCAGAGTTCACCTACTTCTCATACTGGAAGTAAGTATGGATGATACGAAACCTGTCAATGGAATAGAGGGAAATCACTGGAAAAAAACAAAGAAACGTCTTGAGAAGTTCATCAAAGGGCAAAGGGCAGTGGTGGGATTCAAATAATTTAACAACCAGTTCTCTGCGTAACCATGGCCATGCTGGGTGGGCGTGGCCATGGTGGGTGTGGCCAGGGGGTGTGACAGGCAGCACTCCACCTCCTGCAACCCCCTGGGGGCAAAAACAGGCTGTGGGAGGGACCGCCCCCCCGCACCCTGTTTTGGTCCTAGGAGGCCTCCCTGAAGCCTCCTGGGAGCAAAAACGGGCTGTGGAGTAGGCCGCACAGTATCCTTCCCTGGCCCATTTTGGGTCTAGGAGGCCTTCTTGCACTTACCTGGGAGCCAAAATGGGGCACGTGGGGACTCTCGGAAGTGATGGGGAGGGGAGGGGTCAGCCAGCAATTTAAATACCGGTTCGCCTGAACTGGCCTGAACCAGCCCGAACCGGCTGAATCCCACCACCGGCAAAGGAGAAGTGTGCAGAATCCTCATGGGGAGAGGATTTTGGTTTCTAAAGCATGTCTGAGCCTTAAAGAATAATCGGTGTGTAGAGTAAGGAAAATGGCCTTGGTAGATGTATGCAAGATCTGTTGTCTAAGCAAGAGGGGCTGAAACATTTTTTTAAAGTCCAGAACAACAAGATAACATTCAGAAGTGGCTCAGGCAGATACTTCCCTAATTCACTGGAGTATAAGAAGGTGGAGGAGATGCAGCACAAACAAACCGGCAAGACTCTATTATTATGGACTCCCTGGTGCTCTCTAAAAGCTTGCTTCTTGGCTTGCAGACATTTCATTACCCAACTAGATAACATTAGTGCTAGAAGGAAGTGGGCTTTGCTCTCTGTTTATTGTACGTGCAAGTGCCGATAGAAGAGAATATTTGTAGAGTTGAACTGTGTAGTCCTTGGTGCTCTCTGAGCTTGGATGTTGGCTTGCATTTCATTACTTACCTAGGTAACATTATCAGTGATAGTGAGTGTGGAGTTTTCACCGTGTTTATATGCAATAACTTGCCCTGCTAGTGTTGGTGGGGTGTGGTTTTCTCTTTGGTGGTTCCTTGACGGTTGTTTTCTGTTTGTTTGTCTAGTGTTAATCCCTGCTTCTCTCGATGTTGACTGCTAAAGAGGATGTCTTCTCTTTAAAGAGGCCTTTTTGTTTCCTTCTTTCTTTTTACTTTCTTTTTTCCTTCTTTTTTACCGTCTCGTTTGAATGGTGTCTAATTTTGGTTTATCTCTATTGATGTCTGGTTTGTCTGAATATCAAATTTCCAGGAATTTCCTAGCATTTTTTGATTTAGTTTTGTCTAGGACAGGGATCCCCCCCCCCCATCCTTTCGGCTGCACGCACATACACATTTGCGGGTCGCTTGCTCGAACCATCCCTTTCTCCTCTTCCCCCTCCAATCCACAAAGTCAGAGATGGGCTGCTGGGGGTTCGCAGGGGTTCAGGAGAACCTCTAGCTAAGATTTTGTGCAGTTCGGAGAACCCCCAAATCCCACTCCTGGCTGGCCCCACCCACCCCGCCTTGCTGCCTTGATTCAGTTCCACTCGCTGTCCAAATGCTTCCAGAATAGAATAGAATAGAACAGAATAGAACAGAACAGAACAGAACAGAACAGAACAGAACAGAACAGAACAGAACAGAACAGAACAGAACAGAATTCTCTTATTGGCCAAGTGTGATTGGACCCCACAACGAATTTGTCTTTGGTGCATACCAGAGGTGGGTTTCAGCAGGTTCTGACCAGTTCTGGAGAACTGGTAGCAGAAATTTTGAGTAGTTCAGAGAACCGGTAGTAAAAATTCTGACTGGCCCCGCCCCCATCTATTTCTGTCTCCCAAGTAGTCCCAGCTGATTGGGAGGAAATGGGGATTTTGCAGTAACCTTCCCCTGGGTTGGGAAGGGAATGGAGATTTTACAGTATCCTTCCTCTGCCACGCCCACCAAGCCACGCCCACCAAGCCACACCCACAGAACCGGTAGTAAAAATTTTTGAAACCCACCACTTGTGCATACGCTCTCAGTGTACATAAAAAGAAAAGATACATTCATCAAGAATCATAAGTACAACACTTAATGATAGTCATAGGGAACAAATAAGTAATTGAATCATATCAGGAACAATCAATATAAATCGTGAGGATACAAGCAGCAAAGTTATAGTGATACAGTTATAAGTGAGAGGAGATGGGTGATAGGAATGATGAGAAGATTAATATACTGCTCAAAAAAATAAAGCGAATACAAGCAGAAGACATCTGAGATCTGAATGAATGAAATAGCCTTATTAAATACTTTGTTCTTTACATACAGTAGTTTATACACTGCTCAAACAACTAAAGGGAACACAAAACTACTGTATGTACGGAACAAAGTATTTAATAAGGCTATTTCATTCATTCAGATCTCGGATGTCTTCTGCTTGTGTTCCCTTTATTTTTTTGAGCATTGTAGTAATGCAGACTTAGTAAACAATTTGACAGTGTTGAGGGAATTATTTGTTTAGCAGAATGATGGCATTTGGGGAAAAACTGTCCTTGTGTCTAGTTGTTCTGGTGTGCAGTGCTCTATAGCGTCATTTTGAGTTGAAACAGTTTATGTCCAGTATGCGAGGGATCTGTAGATACTTTCACAGCCCTCTTTTTGACTTGTGCAGTATACAGGTCCTCAATGGAAGGCAGGTTGGTAGCCATTGTTTTTTCTGCAGTTCTAATTATCCTCTGAAGTCTGTATCCATCTTATAGTGCTGTCCTTGACTCTGTTCTTCAGGCAGGTCCTTGGGAAGCACCTCGTCTGGCTCCTCGTCTTGTTCCCAGAGCCCTCTGCTCCTGAGCCCAACCCATTCCCATGGGATGTTGTTTGGAAATCCAGGACAAACCCACCCCTCCATCTCACAGTATGTACTGAATTGCTGGGAAATACATCCACAGTTCGTGAATCTCCCTGAGCTGGTCCTTCTGATCTTCTCTATTCATTATACCCTGAACAGTGGAAGGTCATTTTTCTGTACAGGTAGTCCTCGACTTACAATCACAATGGAGTCTGAAGTTTCTGCCGCTAAGCGAGACAGCTGTTAAGCGAGTTTTGCCCCGTTTTATGACCTTCCTTGCCACAGTCGTTAAGCAAATTGCAGCAGTTGTGAAGTTCGTCCTGTAGTTGTCAACTCTGAAACTGACCTGGCGAAAGCCATTTTGAACTCCAGCGTGGCAAGTGTGAATTTTGTTTGCTATGGAATTATTACTTGGAACCCTGACGGTGGTTGTTGAGTGAATCTGGGCTTTGCTCATTGACGTTGCTTGCCAGATGTTTGCAAAAGGGGATCGCGTGATCCTGGGATACTGCGTTATAGATATGAGCCAGTTGCCAAGCATCTGTTGTGGCCCGTCAGCGGCCTGTGCAGCTAGTAGCTGATTCCAACAGCGAGGAGGCTGGTGTGGTGCTGCGCCAGCAGCCTGTGCAGCTGGCACTCGAGTTGGACAATGAGGAGGCTGGAGAAGATGTGGTGCCTGAGGCGGGGGTTTCAGCCAGGGCCTTCAGAACCTCCAGAAGCTCCCATAAGTGAAGAGGAAGAAGAGGAGGAGCCTCTTCTCGATGCACGGGCGCGCAGAGTGGCCAAAAGGCAGGAGTGGCTCCTTAGGAGGAAGTCTCCTCAAGAGTAAGGCTTGGGGCTAATTGGCCACTCCCTTAGCTTATTTAAGGAAGGACAAGACTGAGGCAATTTGCAGGGAACAACTTCATTCACTCTCCTTCACATCTGGATCTTAGTTCTTATCAGTGTCCTGCAAATTGCTTCTGGGCTTTCTGCCAATCCTAGTAAGATTACAATTATTTATTCTTTGGATTCTTGTAGGCTGTTAAGAAAGTTAATTAACAGCCTTTGTTTGAAAAAGACTGATTTAATTTAGTAAACTAAGGTTTGTACAGATTTTGTGTGTGCTGCGTTCTTTGGGGTCCGTAGCTGGGGCAGAACAGCATCTGAATTTTGATCATGGGACCATGGACAAGGTAAAGCTGGGGTGAAATTCAGCAGGTTCTGACAGGTTCTGGAGAAATTTTGAGTAATTCGGAGAACCTGCAAATACCACCTCTGGCTGGTCCCAGAGTGGGGTGGGAATGGAGATTTTGCAATATCCTTCCCCCAGGAGTGGGGAGGGAATGGAAATTTTGCAGTATCCTTCCCTTGCCACGCCCACCATGCCACGCCCACCAAGCCATACCACGCCCACAAAAGCCACGTCCATAGAACCGGTATTAAAAAAAAATTGGATTTCACCACTGAGGTAAAGTGATGGATTTGATCATGTGACAACAGTTATAAGTGTGAAAAATGGACATGAGGCCCTTTTTTACAGTGCCGTTGTAACTTCAAATAGTCACTAAACGAATGGTTGTAAGTCAAGGACTACCTGCAGATGGGGGTACACTTTCCAGGATGTGTCCTTTGAACAGGAATAGATATACCGTATTTTTCGGAGTATAAGACACACTTTCCCCTCCCCCCCAAAAGTGGGTGAAAATGTAGGTGCATCTTATAGACCGAATACGGGCGTTTTTGGGCTCCCGAACCCTTCGCGCATCATGTATTCACCCTCTCCCTCCCCCAGAAGCACTCTGCAGTGCTTGAAGGCCAAAAATGGGCCCATTTTTGACAAAAATGGGCCGTGCAGAGCACTGCAGAGTGCTTCTGGGGCCAGGGAGGGCAAAAACACGACACGCAAAATCCAAAAAACTTTTTTTTGTTGTTTTCCTCCTATAAATCTAGGTGCGTCTTATAGTCTGAAAAATACGGTATTTAGTTTCTCTTTAGAGTGTTTTGCTAATTTCCTCTAACACTTTATCTATTCATAGCTGTTCCATTGGATCCGGGATCCAAAGTGTCTCCATAAGAAAGTTTTCCGACTTGGGGTTAACCATTAGTGGAGGAACCAACCGATCAGATGGACCAATGGTTTACGTCCATGACGTCCAACAGGAAGGAGACTGCAATAAGGTATGACAAATACTTGAAGGATTTGAGTTATATGTGTTGTTATTTGAGCCAGGGTGGTGCAGTGGTTAGAGTGAAGTACTGCAGATGACTTCTGCTGACTGCTGGCTGCCAGCAGTTCAAGTCTCACTGGCTCAAGGTTGACTCAGCCTTCCATCCTTCTGAGGTGGGTAAAATGAGGACCCAGATTGTTGAAGGCCAGAGGCTGACTCTGTAAACCACTTAGAGAGGATTGTAAAGCACTGTGAAGCAGTTTATAAGTGCTATTGCCCTTCCTTCCTTCCTTCCTTCCTTCCTTCCTTCCTTTCCTTTTCCTCCTTTTCCTTCATCCCTTCTTTTCCTTCTCATTTTCCTTCCTTCCTTTCCTTCTCATTTTCCTTCCTTCCTTCCCCTCCCTTCTTTTCCTTCTCCTCATTTTCCTTCCTTCCTTTCCTTCTCATTTTCCTTCCTTCTTGCTTCTTCCTTTCTTCCTTCTTTCCTTTTCCTCATTTTCCTTCTTCCCTTCTTTTCCTTTTCCTCATTTTCCTTCCTTCCTTTCCTTCTTTTCCTTCTCCTCATTTTCCTTCCTTCCTTTCCTTCTCATTTTCCTCCCTCCCTCCCTCCCTCCCTTCCTTCCTTCCTCTCTTAATTCCCTTTCTCATTCTCCTTCCTGGTAGTGCAGTGGTTAGAGTGCAATATTGCAGGCTAACTCTGCCGACTGCCAGGAGTTCGATCCTAACTGGCTCAAGGTTGACTCAGCCTTCCATCCTTCCGAGGTCAGTAAAATGTGGACCCAGATTGTTGGGGGCAAGAGGCTGACTCTGTAAACCGCTTAGAGAGGGCTGGAAAGCACTGTGAAGCAGTATATAAGTCTAAGTGCTATTGCTATTGCTATCTTGGACAGAGCCAGAGATTTTCCTTCAATGTGTTCTGGTTGGAATAAAGAACTTTGGAAGGAAGGAAAATCGAAAAAACAAGGCTGATCTTAACTTTCCTTCCTTTGATTTTCCCACTGTTATTTATTTGTTTCTCTACATTCTTTAGGATGGATGCCTGCAAGTGGGAGACCAGCTAATTGCTATCAATAAAGACTCGTTGGTGGGTGCTACACACGAGGAGGCTAAAAGGATAGTTGCAAAGAATTTGTTCAGGTAAAGTGTTGCGTTAGAGTTGATTTATTTATTCATAGCCCACCTTTATTATTTTTACAAATAACTCAAGGTGGTGAGTTATTTCTCCTCTTATTTTCCCCACAACAACCCTGTAACGTGTGTTGGGCTGAGAGATCAGGACTGGCCCAAAATTACTCAGTTGGCCTTCATGCCCAAGGCAGGATTAGAATGCACAGTGCAGGGGTGAAATTCAGCAGGTTCTGACAGGTTCTGGAGAACCAGTAGCAGAAATTTTGAGCAGTTTGGAGAACCAGCAAATACCACCAGAGTGGGGTGGGAATGGAAATTTTGCAATATCCTTCCCCTGCCATGCCCACAAAGCCACGCCCACAGAACTGGTAGAAAAAAAAATTGGATTTCACCACTGGCACAGTCTCCTGGTGATTGGTCTAAAATCTTCCAGCTGGCTTTCATATCCAAGGCAGGACTAGAACTCACAGTCCTCTGGTGATTGGTCTAAAATCTCCCAGCTGGCTTTCATGCCAAAGGCAGAACTTGAATTCACAGTCTCCCACTTCTAGCCTGGTACCTTAACCCAGGGGTGGGCATCAAAAATTTTAGCAAGGGGTTCTCTGCTTGGTTGCTGGGTGGGTGTGGGCATAGTCGGCCTCCCTGGGCTCCGGAGGCTTTTCTCAAGCCTCCGGGAGGGCGAAAATGGCCTCCCCAGGCTCCGGAGGCCCTCTGGAGGATGGAAACAAGCCTGTTTCCAGCCTTCTTGAACTTCCAGTAGGCCCATTTTTCGCACTCGCTGAGCCTCCATGCACGCCCTGCACTTATCAGCATCCAAAATGGGCCGCGTCGGGACTCCAGGGAGAGGCGAGGCAGGGTGAGCGGGGCCAGCCAGGAGTAGGATTTGGGAGTTCTCCGAACTGCGCAGAATCTTAGCTAGAGATTCTCCCAAACCCCTGAAAACCCCCAGCAGTCCACCCCTGCCTGAACCACTATACCAAAATGGCTCTCAACACAACATCTGAAATAAAGTTGGCATAGATATGTCTAAAGCAGTGGTGGGTTTCAAATTTTTTTACTACCGGTTCTGTGGGTGTGGCTTGGTGGGTGTGGCATGGCTTGGTGGGCATGGCTTGGTGGGCGTGGCAGGGGAAGGATGCTGTAAAATTTCCATTCCCATCGCACTCCATGGGAAGGTTACTGCAAAATCCCCATCTCCTCCCGATCAGCTGGGACTTGGGAGGCAGAGAATAGATGGGGGAGAGGCCAGTCAGAATTTTTACTACCGGTTCTCTGAACTACTCAAAATTTCCGCTACCGGTTCTCCAGAACTGATCAGAACCTGCTGAAACCCACCTCTGGTCTAAAGGTATTTAGAGCTGATCTGGGGAAAAGAGAGAGTGAACCATGAAGAAGGGACTTGGGTGTAGTTTAGACAGAGATTACCCAGAGATAAGAGGAACCACGAGAAGGAAACTCAAAATAAGCCTTCCTTGATTTGGTTTGGTATAAAACGGGGCAGGGAGAAACTTGGACAAGCATCACTGCATCTAGAACAATCAAGTAGCATTCTTGGAATTCCTGCAAGGTTGACTTGGCTTATCTTGAAGAGTTGATGGTATCATCTTTATTCATACTTCCTGACCAAAACATTAACCACCATGTGCTATGAGGCACAGGGCTGAAACTCATTCCTGATTCCATGATGTGGTTTCACAACACATGTCAATGTCTCTCACAAGTCACGAGACGTGCCTAACATGCCTTATCAGCTTTCCGTCCAGAAATGGTACAAAATTCAGCTAAAGTCAGGTCGCCTTTTCATTTAATAAATTATTATTTTTATTATTATATAAACAATGCAATTTTTAAAAATTTTATATGCTGCTTGTGTCTCTGTCCAAAGCAAGTCACAGCAACCTTTTCTTTATCTGGCGTTGTCCTTCATATGCCTTCAAGTCTCCCGAAGAATATAGGAGGTCATAATGTATCCGCATTATCAAGGGATGCTGTGGCTCAGTGGCTAAGATGCTGAGCTTGTCGATGTAAAGGTTGGCAGTTCCGTGGTTTGAATCCCGAGTGCCACCTAATGGGGTGAGCTCCCGTTACTTGTCCCAGCTTCTGCCAACCTAGCAGTTCGAAAGCACGTAAAAAAAAATGCAAGTAGAAAAATAGGGACCACCTTTGGTGGGAAAGGAACAGCGTTCCGTGCGCCTTCGGTGTTGAGTCATGCCGGCCACATGACCACGGAGACGTCTTCGGACAGCACTGGCTCTTCGGCTTTGAAATGGGGATGAGCACCGCCCCCTAGAGTCGGGAACGACTAGTACATATGTGCGAGGGGAACCTTTACCTTTTAATGTATCAGCATAATATATGCATGGACACAAACAGTACGGCCATTTGTAATTGACAAGTTTCCAAGGTCACAAAAGGGGATCATGTAACCCCTGGACACTTCAACCGTCATAAAAACGAAACCGTTACCAAGCCTCCAAATTTTGATCATTGACCATGGGAATGCTGCAATGGTTATAAGTATGAAAAACGGTCGTAAGTCACTTTTTCATGCTGTTTCAACTTCAAACAGTCACTAAACAAGAAGTTGTAAGTGAAGGACTACCTGCACTTCTGGGTATATTAACTGCCTTATTCTTTTAAGCATCCCTTTCTCGCTGATTCTTCTTATAAGCAAGTTGCTCTTTTCTTTTTCAAGGCATGAAGGAAACACAGAAGTGGCCTTCATTCCAGGAAGGGGACAACTTCATCCAGGACATTGTGCAAACAACGGTGCTCACTCAATGTCCACAAGGCTGGGAGATAACAGCATGGCTCCTCCTGGGAGGTGGAAGGTCCATGTGAGACCCCCAGAGGTAAGAGTTCCACTCCTGATAAATTCCACTCCTGATTTTCATTCATCCACAAATTCTTCACTCTCAAAGTTGGCCATCTTCTCCCTGCCAAAACGGTGCTCCTGAACTCCTTTGGATCAGGGTGGCTTCTCTCTCTCTCTCTCTCTCTCTCTCTCTCTCTCTCTCTCTCTCTCTTTCTCTCTCCCTCTCTCTCCCTCTCCCGCTCTCCCTCCCTCCCTCTCTCTCATTCTCTCTCTCTCTCTCCAATGGTGGGAAGCAAACATTCTTCTGAGATGCCTGCTACAAGATGACTTTAGTTAAACACTCCCTGGGGTTCAGATATGAAAATGTCCATTGAGTTTCCCCAGAATAATGAAGTGAATGGGGAACACTAGCTGGGGAATTCTGGGAATTGAAGTCTGTTCATCTTAAAGTTGCCAAGGTTGGGAAACTCTGTCAGACCTGCCCCAATCTGATCCTCAGGGAAGGAAAACCCTCAACTCCATTTGGTTAAAGTAAAAGGTACTTTTACTAAGAGATGCTGGTTGGAGTAAAGTCAGTTGGAATCTGAGTTTCCACCCATCAATACAAAACTATTTCCTTCATTCATTCCTGTCCCTCCCCCTATGACCAGTCCAAAGTCAGCCAATGCGATGTTGCCGAGATGTTTTGGGGATGCTGAAGTGTTTGGCTGGTAACTTTCCACACTCAGGGCAAATTGTTGTTGTCCGCCAGTAGCCTGTGGAGCTAGCAGTGGAGTCGGACAGCGATGAGGCTGAGGAAGAATATGGGCCAGTCCTGGAGGCTGGGGAAGGCCTGGATGAGGGCTCTGCGTCAGAGGCAGAGATGAGGCCAGAGCTATCGGGGAATGAGGTGCGGACTCCAGAGCCTCCAGAGACTGATAGGAGTGAGGCAGAGGAACAGGAGGAGCCTGTTCCTAGTGCATGCATAAGAAGAGCTGCCAGAAGGCAAGAGCAGCTCAAGCAAAGAGGACAACTCGGGAGTAGGGCCAAGAGATGATTGGCCACTTCCATAAAGCTTAAAACAGATCAGCAACGGCGTTTGGGCTTTGCCGGAAAACAACGTTGGTAGCTTCGTCTTCTTCTTCGTCTACATCTTGTATTGATTTTTGTATCTGTGACTTCTGAACGTTTACCAAGAAAGGCCTTTGGCAGTTTGCCTAATTGGACCAAGGTTTGCGATAGGACTGAGGAATTTGTGTTGGGAGGAATTTGCTTTAATTTAGTTGAACGACACTGGGAATGAAGTAATTCTCAGCTGTTCGAATAAAGTTTGTTTTTTCACTGACTGATTTTCCTACTACTTACTTGGGCCTGGGTCACAACACAAATGGCCTTGAAGACAACGGGGCATGAACAGGCCCCATGTTGATCTGCTTTTCTTCAGCTGTTCTTCCCCCCTCCCGAATTCCCACACAAGCTGCATGTTTATTACCCATTTGTCTCCCCATGCCTCCCCTCATGTCCTTTGATGGCAGGATGCCAGTGAGGCGCCAAGCCGAAGATGGTGAACCTGACAGGGAGTCTGGGAAGAAGAGTTAAGGAACTCAGAGACGTGCCAGTCTACTCTCTTCCTCTTTTTGTGCGTGTTTGTAAACACATTGATCCATTACAGTTACATAACCGTTGTAATAGGCTTATTTTATGCTCTGCCAGCATCCTTGATTGACTATTTTCTTGTGGGAGTTTTGGAGCCAGGATACTACTATGAAAACAGACCTCTAGATTCTTAATCATAGCCGTTCCTTATGGGATGGTACCAATTTATTTCATCAATGCGTTCCTACCTAGCCTTTGAACCCATCTAATCCCAGAGCAAGACAGAAAAGGTATGAACAGGATTACACACCCAGAGTGCAGGATAATAATAATAGTTTTAAAACGTCTTCAGAGCAGATTATATTGTCAGATGTAAATGCCTTATTCTCCAATGTGTAAATAATGTATATATGGAACATCAGAGGTTAACTTATTCTTTGGACTTTAATGTATTCATAACTTACCACTCCCATTCCTAGCTCCACCCCTTGTATATATAAGGAGCCACCCTCACCATTCTCGCTGCTTCTACCTTGAATATTCAGTGAATATAGAATGCCTATCATAATTAAAAAGAAATATATTTAAAGCTCTAACTCCTATTATCTTTATTGAGTCTGATCCTGAAAATATTGCAACAATCTGGTAGCAGAGGATGGTTAATTGACTCAATAAGTAATTAAAAATGTCCAAGAAAGATAGGCCCAACACCAGGGCCTACAGCAAAGAAATAGAAACTGATCAAGAGATGACCAACGAATCCACCAATGCGATTTCGAGAGAATCCGAAGAATACACCACTGAAGAAGAAGAACTAATGAGTGAAAATAATGACCAGAAAGAAAATCGAAATAGAAAATAACGAACTCAGGTCAGAGATATTAAAGATACTAAAAAGCCAAAAGAATGATGAAAATCTCATCGCGGACCTCCAGGAGATGCTGAAGAACAGCGGAGCAGCGAGAGAGAAAAACGTCATTAAAGAAAAACCCAAAGATCAAAAAACCGTAAGTGAGATGACTACTGAGAAAATAGTTGTTAAAAAGAAAAGATGTGATCCCGCGCGAAATTTTGAATGGCAGCCATCTTGGTTTCAACGAACTTCAAAAGAGAATGGAGCAGAGCCAATCAAAACGCTCAGTTCAAAATTTCTGGCGCGAAAAAACACTATCAGACGAAGAAAGTGAGAAAGAAGTCTCAAACTCTTCAGATGATTCAAAATCAGAAAGTGAAGACGATTTAACAAAATCTCAAGTAAAATCAGCAATGAAAACGCTTTTTGCTGCTTTTGGGCCAAGACTGAAAATTACCAAGACATCTACGAAGAAGCAAGAAATCAAACCGGCGACTCAAGACCTGCACGCTCCCATCCTGACTTCGAAAGCGACGACGCCCGAGCCCAGAGAGCCATGCCGATTTCGCCCTACACCACAGACAAGATCGAATGCCAACGCACACAAAAAGAAGAAAAGAACCGTCGCCACCACCAGAACCCCAAAAACCGAGCCAGAGACCGACTCATCTGAGGAGGAGCGGATCGAGAGAGCTGAAAGGGAGAGAACCTTCCACGACGCCACCAAAGAAGAAATGAGCAACGCGCATGTGCGAAACTACGTAGACGACCCAGAAGGACTTGAACTGGCCAAAGAACCGCGCAGACTCATTGCAAGCATCCCAATGCCGTTCTGTAATTTCCTGCACTTGAGAGATCACGGACTGCCCCAGGTTGTAAGTAATGGACAGAATAATGTAGGTAACTTACCCAGTGACTTCCCAAAACTTAGAATTGATGGCATTAATTTACAAGAGTGGTATCAACAGCTTCAGGTTATTTTCATGAAAGAAAATTTACTATTCTTTATAACTAGCCCTCCAAGAAGACCTTGGACCTTAAAAATAGATTGTTTACATCATAGAGCATTTTTCATAATAATATCTAGCGTGTCTCCTGCAATGTATCATAGCATCAAACCAAATCTAACAGTATCAGAAATAATTCAATGCATGTTTAATCTATTTCACAGCGATAGCGTAGCTACAACCACAAGAATGTCTAAGGATTTCTTTTCCTCTAGAGTAAAACCAGGGGTTTCTATAAGTGAGCATTTGATAAATCTAAACAAAATAAGAGCTGAGCTACAATTGAGGGGGGAAGTGATTTCAGATCAAACAATGAAAAGTGTTATTATCAATTCACTTGATCCATCATGGGATAGCTTTATGTCACACTTAGATACCATTAATTTGGGATATTTATCCATAGAAAGCCTATCTAACAAATTGATAGAAGAAGACAATTCAAGAAAAAATCGATCCAGTAACCAAACAGACCACAAACCTTTTAGGAAAGTAGTCTTTCAAGATAAACATAATGAGGCCTTTAGATGCTACAATTGTGGATCCAGGGAACATAGTAGAAGAGACTGCCCCAAAGTCTCAAGAGAGAGAGACATAGGCCAGAATATAAGAGCAAATATAATTACAGACAATCTTCCACAGATAGACACAAATATAGAAGTCCACCAAATTACAAAAAAGATAGAGGGGGTAGAGAAAATTCAAAGGAGAGGAAATCTGGGTCACTGAATGGGCTAAATAAACAAGACAGCACCAGAACACAGCAGGATGAGAATAACAATTGGCTTATTGATTCTGGTGCAACAAATCACACCACCAACAACAAAAGTATATTATCTTCATTTATAGAAGATAAGTTTGTGATAAAGGTAGCTAATCAAGAAAAGGTTCAAGTACTAGGCAAAGGAAATGTGACCTTGCCTGGTCTAGGGAAAATAGAGGGGGTATTATTAATCCCAGAAATACCTCACAACATACTAAGTGCCATAAAATTAAGCAGAGAATCTGATATCAATATAGTTTTCTCAAAGGGGAAAGCAACTATAGAAAAGAACAAAACAAATGTAGGTACTGTAATGATAAAAGGAGGTCTACCCTATCTGATAACTAAAGAAAGATGTTTACATAACATTGATTCAAATATGGAAGATTGTATTGAAGCAGATGATGAAAATGTCAGTAACAGTGACAATGATGAGTGTAGAATAACTCATGATCACAAAAATACATACAAGGAAAAGAAACCAAAAATAGGTAAACCAATTCATGATGAGTGTGCTCACATCTTACACAGGAAGTTAGGACATGCAAGCTTTCCTGTAGTACAAAAAATGACTGAACACGCAGAAGGTGTCAAAATAAAAAATTGTGAAAATTATTTGGAATGCTCAGTATGTAAATCCACCAAACTAAAAACCAGTCCCAGACCAAAAAAATCTAACAGATCAACTAACAATATTTTTGATTTGGTACATATGGACTTAGTTGGTCCATTAAGTCCCTCAATTACCTATAGAAAACGTTACTTCCTAACAATAGTGGATGACTACAGCCGATATGGTTTTGTTTACACATTAAAGCACAAGGATGAAACATTTCAGAAATTTAAGGAATTCTACAAACGTATAGAAACACAACATAATATCAGAATAAAGCAAATTATGACAGATAGGGGATGTGAGTTCATGTCTAAAGAATTCTCCCAATGGTTAAAGGATAGAGGAATGTTACATTTCACGTCCAATCCTTTTTCTGCATTTCAAAATGGAGTTGCAGAGAGGAAAAATTCCACACTACAAACCATGATTAGGTGCACATTAGAGGATGCTGGTTTAGGCAAACAATTTTGGTCAGAGGCATTACATTATTCAAATTACACTCAAAATAGAACCTGGTCCAGTATTGTGAATAAGACACCATATGAGGTGATGTACAATAGAAAACCCAAATTATCACACATGCACATATTTGGAGTCACTGCAGACGTACACATACCTAAACAATTGAGGAGAAAGGGAGAAAATGTATCCAGGAGATTAAGATTCATGGGATACGAAACTGGAACCAAAGGGTACAGATTTATTGATAGTAATAACAAATTTATAGTATCCAGAACAGCTGTGTTCCATGAACAGGCCAATTGGTCAAAATTGCACCTTAATGAAATATTTCCTAATAAATGTAAAGATACGATATCTTGCGAGGAAGGAACAACAGAAAATCAAAATATTAACAAAAGTAAGAACAAAACCAAAACTTGGACTAATAGTCAGCATAAAATAAAGACAGACACATTAACAAAAAAGGAAGCTAGATATTTGCATGATAACCATAGCAAGCCTGAAAGAACTATTAGAAACAATAGAAACCAAATACCAAATAAATACAAAGACTACATAATGCATATGAATGGAGAACAAATAACACCTAATACATATGAAGAAGTATTGAAACTTCCACATGAAGAAAAGAGAAAAATGGGAACTAGCTATGGAAAAAGAGATGGAAAGTTTACAAGGATTAAATGTATTCACACCTGCGATCGCACCTAAGGATAAAACAATTATAGGTACCAGGTGGATTTATAAAATTAAGAACTTAGAAGGAGGCAATACCTTATACAAGGCTAGACTAGTTGCACAAGGCTATGCACAAAAATATCCAGAAGACTATACTGATACATATTCACCCACAGTGAGAACAGAGAGTGTCAAAACAGCCCTTGTAGTAGCATCTGCACTCAATCTGGACGTATTCCAATATGACATACAGACCGCATACTTACATGCAAAATTAGATAAGGAAATATATGTAAGAGCACCACACAGTCAATACACTAATAAGAACGAAATTTGGTTATTAAATAAGAGTCTGTACGGATTAAAGCAATCCGGCAAAAGATGGTACGATTGCTTGGTAAAAGTACTTAAGACCATGGATTTCAACGCCACCACTGCTGATAACTGTTTCTTTGTAAAAAAGAGTAATGATCATATTGAATTTGTATTAATTTACGTGGACGATATTTTATACATTGGAAAGCATAAAGAGAGCAGGGAAATCTTTGTAAATAAGTTAAATGAACACTTCTCACTGAAATCCCTGGGTAAAGTGAATAAATACCTTGGTGTGCAAATTAACAAAACTAAAAGGGGATTCAAACTTACACAGAAAGATAAAATCATCGAACTCCTAAACAAATGTAACTTAAATAATGCCAAAACCTGTGACACCCCTATGCAAACTGATTTTCTTAGAAACACTGATGAATCTTCCCCTGAGTTTAAAGACAACACATTTTACAGATCAGTTATAGGTTCACTCCTCTATATATCTAATTGGACTAGGCCAGATATTGCATTACCTCTCAATCTATTGTCAAGATATGTTAGTAAACCAACCTTGTATCATTGGGAAGCTGTCAAAAGAATTCTAAGATATCTGAAGGGTACATTAGATTTTTGTTTAATGTTGGAACCCAATAATGACAGAGAACCAAAAATTACTTGTTATGCTGATGCAGATTGGGCTGGTGATACATCATGCAGAAAGAGTACTTCTGGTTATGTTTTTCTATTGAATGATTGTCCAGTTTACTGGTATACTGGTAAACAAGAACTAGTAGCCACTTCTACTACAGAAGCGGAATATGTTTGTTTGTCCAAGGCTGCAAATAACCTTGTATGGTTCAATGATCTGATCACTGATGTTTGGAAGAAACCCACTTTACCATTTATTATGCATGAAGACAATAAAGCGGCCATTGAAATATCCAGATCCGATGCAATTGGACAAAGGTCCAGGCATATTGATATAAAGTTTAAGCATGTGAGACAACTGTCTCAAGACGGATTCATTAAAGCAATACATTGCGATACTTCTGAACAATTAGCTGACATATTAACAAAACCCTTACCTTCTAAACAACACAAATATTTAACTTCTAAATTATATGTATTATATTGTCCTGAATCAGAATGTAATTGGTGTTGTGTAACGAACCGGCATTTAGAGGGGGATTTGTCAGATGTAAATGCCTTATTCTCCAATGTGTAAATAATGTATATATGGAACATCAGAGGTTAACTTATTCTTTGGACTTTAATGTATTCATAACTTACCACTCCCATTCCTAGCTCCACCCCTTGTATATATAAGGAGCCACCCTCACCATTCTCGCTGCTTCTACCTTGAATATTCAGTGAATATAGAATGCCTATCATAATTAAAAAGAAATATATTTAAAGCTCTAACTCCTATTATCTTTATTGAGTCTGATCCTGAAAATATTGCAACAATTATCAGACTGCAGCTTTGCAAAGTCAAACACGCCAGGAGACAGAGGTAAGAGGTGAAGAATTTCTCAGCACGACTAACCTTAATCCAAATCTAACCTCAGGATGCTTCGGAAAAAGTCACACCAGGCTACGCTTCCGGTTGTGTTTTCGGAAAACTGCTTTCGCGCTGAATCTTGTGGGATACCAACCCAAAGTGCCTTGCAGAATCTAGCTGATCTTAGAGGACTTCAGAAAGTTTGAGTAGGTTTGGACCAGATTAGTATGAGTCCTTGATGTTCTCAGAGCTTGGTTCTTGGCTTGCAGGCATTTCATTACCCAACTGCATAACACCATCAGTGAGAGGGAGTGTGGGGTTTCCTGCCTGTGTCCTTTTAGCGAGAAGAATGCAAATGACCCGTTACCAGTTACTTTAGTTTCCCCAAACATTCCCTCCTTCATTCCCACTCCCAGTGGTGGGTTGCCCCCGGTTCGGACTGGTTCGCAAGAACCGGTAGTAAAACCGGCGGGAGGCCCCGTACACTGCCCCAGATGTCGTCATCGGCGATCTGTGCATGCGCATTGCAGTGATCCCATTGCAAACCGGTAGTAAAGGTAAGTAGAACCCACCTCTGCCCACTCCTCACAGTTCATGGCTATGCAGTTCCGTCACTGCATAGCAGCAAAAGTCAGCATTCCGAGTAATACACCCATTGAAAGCATAACTCCGAGGCAGGTAGATTCCTCAAAGGATATGTTTATGGGATATATCATATCAGCACAGCCGGTGAAAACCAACTCTGACAATTCCTACAGTTTTCACCTAATTAAAAGAATCAAACTTCCCCCTTCCCAAATGTCACCGGTCATATTGTCCAATGAATATGGAAGGCAGGCTCTTCTCCACTTCTTTCAACAGCCACCTGTTTCAATGACCTTGGTTCCCACAAGAAAGCATTTTGTTTTGACTGGAGCCTGGCTATCTAATTCCCCGCTCCCTTCCCCCTTTCTGGCTTCGTGGCAACTATGGGGCAGCACAAGACGGCTTCAGCCAGGTTCACTTCAGAGTTGACACAAAGCACAAACACGCATAAGATGGCAATTGACAAAACTGTTGTGGTCCGCCAGCAGCCTGCGGAACTGGCAGCGGAGTTGGACAGCAATGAGGCTGAGGAAGAACATGGGCCAGTCCTGGAGGCTGGGGAAGGGTCAGATAAGGGCTCTGCATCAGAGACAGAGATGGGGCCAGGGCCATCGGGGAGTGATGTGCGGACTCCGGAGCCTCCAGAGGCTGACAGTAGAGAGGCAGAGGAACAGGAGGAGCCTGTTCCTAGTGCACTTATGAGAAGAGCTGCCAGAAGGCAGGAGCAGCTAAAGCAGAGAGGACGACTCGGGAGTAGGGCCAAGATATGATTGGCCCCTCCCATAAGGCTTAAAAGACCAGCAACAGCTCTTGGCCTCTTTGCCGGAAAACAACATTGTGAGAATTGGTTCTTGTTTCACTGTATTCATTTCTTGTCGGCGTCTTCTGCTTCTGAACTTTTGCCAAGAAAAGCCTTTGGCAGTTTGCCTAATTATCCCAAGGTCGGTGATAAACTGAGGAATGGTGTTTTGAAGAATTTGCTTTCATTTAGTTTGGACTATGCTGAGAACGAGTTCATTCTCAGCTGTTCTAATAAACTCTGTAAAGTTTGTATTTAATACTAACTACTTGGGCCTGGGTCACAACAAATACGTCTTCAAGGGAAAACAAAGAAAGTCCAGTTACCTCTTGAAAAAGCACCTTTGGGACATCCAAAGGAAAGGTCTTTATTCGTCTTTGTTTTTCACGCCCTTTTACTTCTTTCCTGATTAATTTTCTCCTCCTGCATTTTCCCATTTTTTTTCCAGAGCAGACACAATAGCCACTTTCCTGTGCCTTCTCCATCTCCAGATGTCTGCCCACCAGAGTGCATCATTTCCGGTAAAGACATTTTGCACTGGGATGAGGAGGGATATGGGATTATAATAGGATGTGGAAAAGTCTTGAAATGCCAGCTCATGAAAGTGTTGATAGAACATAGTACACAGAATAATAGTGTTGGAAGGGATCTCAGAAGTCTTCTAATCCAAACCCCTGCTCGAGCAGGAGACCTTATACCATTTCAGACAAATGGTTGTCCAATCTCTTTTTGAAAGCCTCCAATGATGGAGCACCCACAATTTTTGAAGGCAAGCCGTTCCATTGATTGATTGTTTCAATGTCAGGAACTGTCTCCTTACTTCTAGACTGGATTTCTCTTTGTTAATCTTCCATTTTGTTACTTCTTGTCCTACCCTTGGCTGCTTTATTTATTTTATTAAATTTCTATACCGCCCTTCTCCCGAAGGACTCAGGGCGGTGAACAGCCACAAGATAAAAACACATAAATACAAAAATTTAAAATCAAATAAAAATGAATTAAATAATTTGGCTGAATTTAAAATACCCCATAATTTAAAACAAATTAAAATTTACATTTAAAAAGGGGAGAGGATTTAGGCCAGGCCAGCTTGATGAAATAAAAAAGTCTTAAGCGCACGATGAAAGGTGCGCAGATCCAGGATCCTCTTTATCTCCGGGGGGAGCTCATTCCAGATAGTAGGTGCCCCCACAGAGAAGGCTCTCCCCCTAGAGGCCGCCAGTCGACATTGTTTGGCTGACGGCACCCGGAGGAGCCCCTCTCTATGGGAGCGTACTGGCCGGTGGGAGGCTATTGGTGGTAGCAGGCGGTCCCGTAGATAACCAGGTCCTAAGCCATGGAGCGCTCTAAAGGTGATAACCAGCACCTTGAAGCGCACTCGGAAGACCACCGGGAGCCAGTGCAGCTCGCGCAGGAGAGGTGTTACATGGGAGCTCCATGTCGCTCCCATAACCACCCGCATGGCGAAGAGAATATTTAGAGAATAGGTTGACCCCCCCCTCTTTTCTTTGATGGCCCCTCAAGTACTGAAAGATTGCTATCAAGTCACACCTAGTCCTTCTCTTCGTTAGGCTAGACCAGGGGTCAGCAACCCGCTCAGTGGTGGGATTCAAGTAATTTAACAACTGGTTCTCTGCCCTAATGATTTCTTCCAACAACCAGTTTGCCAAACTGCTCAGAAAGTTAACAACCGGTTCTCCCAAAGTGGTGCGAACTGGCTGAATCCCACCACTGAACCTGCGGCTCTGGAGCCGCATGCGGCTCTTTCATCCCTCTGTTGCGGCTCCCTGTCACTGATCGGCACCACAATTTTGAGAGGACCTTCTGGTTGTGGGGGGAAGCACAGCGCACCAGGAGGAAACTCTATGGCAAGGGATGGGCTTTCCGGTCGGTTCCACAATTGATAGGGGTTTCAGTTAGGACAGGTAGAGGAAAAAGGACACCGCGCTAGGAGGAGACTCTATGGTGGGGGGGAATCGGACTTCTGGTCAGCTCCAGAATTGAACAGGGGGCTTCCAGTTAGGATCTTTGGGGCTCCTGGTGTTTTCTTTTCTGTGGGAAATGGGTCCAAATGTTGCCGACCCCTGGGCTAGACATATCTAGTGTGCTGGCTCTGTCCATTCTTTCTCTTCCTTACAGCTCCTGCTTCTCCTTCAAGCCAGGAATCGTCTTCAACCCCCAAGCCTAAAGTACCCCTGGACCCTCACGTTCGTCTCAAGGATGGCAAACTTGAATTGGTGAGTCCAATCCAGAGGTGATATTCAGCCGGTTCAGACCGGTTCGGGCGAATTGGTAGTAACAACCTCCACCCACCTTGGCGCTATGCCGTCCTATTTAGCCACGTTTTCAAGCTGTGCGCATGCACAGAGGTGACGCGTGCGCTCATATTTTCGGTGCTGGGTGAACCGGTAGGTAAATTATTTGAATCCCACCCCTGGCCCAACTCAACAGGTGATTCCAGTCAAATTAAAGGATTGAATCTAGGATTGATGTAGGCTCCTTCATCGTAAGTTAACTAACTTTATTGAATTCAAGGGTTGGGTTTTTTATATCTTGGGAGGTCAAGCTAACTTGTGTTAGGTCATCCCTGTTATTTTCTAAGCACATTTTGTGCACCTATAATATTTCTTCAGATTATATTTTAATGGATTAATTTCATGGCTTGGAATGAAGAACATATACTGATTCCAAGCCATGGTCCATACTTGGAGATCTCCTGTGATGACCCGGGGCAAGGCACAGAGGCAACACAGTCAATTGATAGTTCAAATCGCCCCTTTATTGCTCCAACTTTCCCCCAAATGCTCCACATTATTATTGTGACCTAGGCTCACTTAGTCATTACAGGACACAATTAGTCTCAAACCAAAACTATTTTATTATAACAGCTGAGAATTACTTCATTCCCAGCTTAGTCTAAATTAATTCAAAAACAAGTCCTTCAGAAAAAGTCCTTCAGCTTATCACAAACCTTTATCTTCTTTGGCAAAGCCGCATGAAGTTCAGAAATAAGAGACACCGACTGGAAAACAGATTTAGCAACATTGCTTTCCTACAAAGAGCCCAAGAGCCTTTGCTGCTCTTTTACACCTTATGGAAGGGGCCAATCATCTCCTGGCCTTACTCCCAAGTCATCCTTTTTTTTTAAAAAAAAAAATTGATTTATATGCCACCCTTCTCCGGAGACTCAGGGCAGCTTACAATGCGTTAAGCAATAGCCTTCATACTTTTGTATATTTATACAAAGTCAGCTTATTGCCCCCACAAACTGGGTCCTCATTTCACCTACCTTAGAAAGGATGGAAGGCTGAGTCAACCTTGAGCCTTGGAGAGATTCGAACCAGCAGTAAATTGCAGGTAGCTGTGTTAATAACAGGGTGCTTAGACCACTGTACTATCAAGGCTCTTTTTGTTTTAGCTGCTCTTGTCTTCTGGCAGCTCTGCACATGCGTGCACTAGGAACAGGTTCCTCCTGTTCCTCTGCCTCTATGCTGTCCGATTCTGGAGGCTCCAGAGTCCGCATGTCACTCCCAGATGGCCCTGGCCCCATCTCTGCCTCTGATGCAGAGTCCTTGTCCGGGCCTTCCCCAGACTCCAGGACTGACCCATGGTCTTCCCCAGCCTCCTCACTGTCTGACTCTGCTGCTAGCTCCATGTGCTGCTGGTGGACACAACAATTATGGCAAGTCCCAGAGCAAAGTTATCACACACATATACACACACACCTCCAGCAGCCTCTGGCTGCAAGTAGTCCAGCAAAATGCTGTTGCACAATGGCTTCAAAGCAAGAAATCCAGTGGGGCAAAGGAATAAGTCAATGAGTCCAGGAAGCAAAGGAACAAGGCAATGGTTTCAGGAAGCAAAGGAACAAAGCAATTAATCCAGGAAGCAAGGAAGCAAGCAAGAAGTCCAGGAAACTCCAAACATCGGCAACAGCACACAAAACTCCATGAATTCAGTGTTGGTTCCCAACAAACGCCCCTCCCCACAGTGTCTCCTTAAATCTCACTCCCTAGGTGTGCCTTGTGAAGAGGGGTGGGGCACTCTCCTCCTAAATCTTCGGGTCAGCCTGCAGTGTTCATGCCTCCTCTCCACACTCTGTGCTTGGGGATCAGGAGGAGGTGGTTCTTGCTCATCGCTTGAGCTCTGTCGCTCCTCATCTCCACTGCCTGCCCTCTCTTGGTCATCCTGGCCCTGTTCCTCCCTGCTAGCAAGCCATCCGATTCCTGAGAGACCCTGGCCTGCTTCCACCCCACATTCCTCTGAAGCCAATGAAGCTGCCCCCTCGATCTGCCTAGGCTCCAGCTCTAGCTCATCTTCCTCCTCAGATTCAGGCTCTTGACGGGGAAATGACATCTCCACCCACTGTTTTTTTTCCCCCAAAAGGCCCTGCAATGGGGTTGGGTCCACTTTTAAGGAAGTCTTCCTTTTTTGATCAAGCCTGATGCAGAGCTGATTTCTCAAGAAGATTTCCATCTTAAAGATGACTTTGGGTGTAGGAGAACACCCTGACTTAACCCGGGTGACCTCCAAGGGTGTAGATTTCAGCTCCAAAATCCCCCAGAGTGCATGGCCATAGCTCAAAATCCTGGGATCTAGAAACTTCTAGAGGCTGTCTAGAATGTGGATGGAGATACCAGGGAAGCGAGACCACACTTCTAAATGAATATCAACATTTTTTCGGGTTTTTTTTTCCCTCCCCATTTTTTCGTTAGTATCATTCTTCTCACTGTCTGTTTTCTTTTTTTTTTGGCTTCCAGATGTTACAGTACTTAAACCTAGATATGAGCGAAGAGAAGAAAAGGCAGTTACGGCAGAGACTGACAACTGATTCCCAAGGCACAGTAGCCTACGGAGGTAAGACAAGATCTAGAGGTACTTTCAGCTTTCAAGATTCTGTTAATGTAATTGTATAGGTGAGATAGAGCTAGTATTCCTGATTATGTTTCATATCTAAAGATAAATGTAAAGATTCCCCTCGCAGATATGTGCTAGTCATTCCTGACTCTAGGGGGCGGTGCTCATCTCCGTTTCAAAGCCGAAGAGCCAGCGCTGTCCAAAGATGTCTCCGTGGTCATGTGGCCGGCATGACTCAACGCCAAAGGCTCACAGAACGCTGTTCCCTTCCCACCAAAGGTGGTCCCTATTTTTCTACTTGCATTTTTTACCTGCTTTCGAACTGCTAGGTTGGCAGAAGCTGGGACAAGTCACGGGAGCTCACCCAGTTATGTGGCATTCGGGATTTGAACCGCTGAACTGCCAACCTTTCGATCGACAAGCTCAGCGTCTTAGCCAACTGAGCCACCGCGTCATGTCTAGACTGCCTCAATGGGCTAGCATCAATCTTGCAGGTCTGAGACTAGCCCTTCCTAGAGAGGGTCCCTTCTGAGATGCTCTCTCCACCCTCATCCCTCCTGCAGACTCAAGTTTCATTTATTGGACTGTTGTCTAGGCTGAGCTCTCTTCTTCCTGTCTCCAAGGTCATTCCCACATATGGTATTTTTTGGAGTATAAGACACACCGGAGTATAAGACACACCTTAGTTTTTGGGGAGGAAAATAGGAAAAAAAAATTCTGCCTACCAGTATTCATCTGGCTAGTCCTTAGCCTAGTCAGCTTCAGCACATTAGTTCACTCGCTGTTTTGAGGTTGGGGCTCTTGGAGCTATGCTTCTAAAGCACAGCTGATTGTCAGAGGGAGCAGCAATTAGAAAAGCAGGCAAATCTATGCTGGCTGAGGAATTCTGGGAGTTGAAGTCCACAAGCCTTAAAGTTGCCCTTAAAGACCTTTGGTTCTTCGTTTGGGTTTTATTAGTGAATTTATTTTTACCTTTTCTTGCGGCCTTCCTTAAATGAACCCCACAGATCTAATGGGCTTTGACTATCTTAATCTCCCGCTAGAATAAGCAATAGCTGTGCCAGATGGTTGGGGTACACCTCGGAGAGTGGGAAAGCTGGATGCTGTGTTGATAAAGGCTACCCGGTGGTAGAAAACAGTTTCAGGAGAGGGGCCTTTAATGAGAAGAGGGGCCATAATTTTTGGAGAGTTCTTCCAGATTTCTAGGTGAGCTTTAGGAAGCAAAAGAAGAGTCCGTGACCATCCCAGGATTGCTTCTGTCAGCATTGACCGAGAAGTTGAGCAAGGCCTCCCTCTAATGGCTACTTGGGGAGGTAATTCTCCTGAATTACACTGGAGGTTTTTAAGAAGAGAGTGGATAACCATTTGTCTGAAATGGTGTAGGGTATCTGCTTGAGCAAGGCGCTGGACTAGAAGACCTCCAAGGTCCCAACTCTGTTATTCTATCCTATCCTATCCTATCCTATCCTATCCTATCCTATCCTATCCTATCCTATCCATCCTATCCTATCCTATCCTATCCTATCCTATCCTATCCTATCCTATCCTATCCTATCCTATCCTATCCTATCCTATCCTATTCTATTCTACATTCCAATATTCTACTCTACTCTACTCTACTCTACTCTACTCTACTCTACTCTACTCTACTCTACTCTACTCTACTCTACTCTACTCTTCATTCCAATATTCTATTCTACTCTACTCTACTCTACTCTACTCTACTCATGCTCCAAGATGGCGGCGACCAAATAAGCTCCGTTTCGGAGATGGGAGAGTTACCGGTTGTCAGGGTCTTCAGGAGCCCTCTTGTCCATCTTCGGCTCCAGTCCCAGTGAGGGGACCATCCGCCCTGTCTGTTGAGGGCTTTTTCGCCCTCCGGAACATCAGGGCAGGGCTGGACGGCTCCACGGGAGATGGGGCGATGGGCCTGGCTGCAACAGCTGTTTCCGGTGTCGGGGAAATGGAGGCCAAGGCATCCGGCGGCGGGCGGCGTTTGTTCGGCGGCGGCTTGAGGTGGCCCCCCCCGCTCCCTATAGCCCTCTAGATCCCTGGGGCGCTCTTTTCCGGCGTTTTCGGGCTCCGGTATGCCTTGGAAGCTTGGGGTGCCTGATTACGGGCTGACGACGACGACGGCGGCGGCGGCGGCGGTGGCAATGGCTGACATGGACCGGGCGGCCAGAAGAACAACAGGCAGCAGGTTGATGGGGGAGAAGCTGACAGCCTCACCCCTAGAATTACCATCTGGCTCACAGTTGATTCTTACTGTGATGGGGTGTTTTAGAACAAAGCTGTGTCTGGGGGTTGTGGAGATTGGGGCTGGAGAGGCAGGAGGCTGACCATGGTTTGGTTGGTTGGTCGCCTCGGGTGGCCTCTCCTCCCCCCCCTTTCCCCCAGGTATGGGTGGGTGTTGGCCTCAATGGCCAACCACCCCTGGATTGGACTTTCCTGTCTTGCTACTCCTACTCTCACCTCAAAGAAGATCTTGTGCCCATGGGTCTATTATCATCTTTATTAACATCTTTATTATTACCATCGTTATTAACATCTACACTTTGGACACTCTGGACCCCTTATTATGCTCCACTCACGCCCTCACTGCTAGGAGAGACTGTGCACCATTTGAGAGAGCTGAGGGATTTTCCACATCCCAACGGAGAGGATAGAACTTTGCTCCCATTAACTTTCTAACGGGACCGGCCGTCATGAGAGGATGGTTGGCCATTAGCCTCTGTTGGAGAAAAAGAACTTTGGACCTTCTCCCTGTCGTGAGAGGACAGTGGAGTCCAGCCCTATAAATGGACATTTTATGACCTTTATGCTCAGTTATCCCTTGGACTATGACAGATTCCTGGACTGGCTTTTCTTTTCCCATCTTTGGTTCGGTTGATGCTCCAAAAAACCGACCTTCTTGCGCTGCGAGACTCCCCCCTCTCGCAGGCCTGGCCCTCCACGTTATCGAGGGCCTATCTTGATGACGGGCTTTGGGACCCCGAGAGATGGCATGCAGCAAAGAGGGGGCTGAGGGGTTTTTTAGCTAAATTTTTAAGGAAAATTTTAAGGGGACCCGGGAGGAAGGGAGGGGATTGTAAAAGTGGACCTGGGGGGGTCCAGATAGCGACTGCACGGGATGATGGGTTAATTAGCTGCAGCAGAGGGGTCGCGAAAGGAAATTTAACCGGGGGACAGGGGGACGATAGAAAGGGCTGTGTAATTGAAATCATGAGTGGGAGGGGCAGGTATGACGGGCGCAGGGGGTCATATCAAGTGTCGGGAGTGCGCACACGCTGTCTCCGAGCGATTGCGCACTCCGGCCCCCAATGCGTGACTCGTGTCCTGGGTTGTGTAGAGCCTCATGCCCAGGGTCTGCGGCTGATGTTATGTAATGCCAGGTCAGTGGTTAATAAGGCCTCCCTCATCTGTGATCTTATTTCGGAGGGGGGTGCAGACCTGGCAGGTATTACGGAGACCTGGTTGGGCCAAGAGGGGGGGGTCCCCCTCGTAGAGATGTGCCCGCCAGGTTTCCGTGCATTTCATCAGCCAAGGGCCCAGGGGAGGGGGTGGGGGAGTGGCGGTGATCATTAGGGAGAGTCTTTATCCGAGGGAGACCACTGTTCCTCAGATAGCCGGATGTGAGTCCCTTTATGTGAAGTGGGGCCGTGGGGTGCAGATGGGTCTGCTGACTACGTACCTGGCTCCCTGCCACGTGGCAGCAACCCTGCCCGAGCTACTCGACGTCATTGCCGGGGGTGGCAGTCGATACCCCCAGACTTATTGTCATGGGGGACTTCAACCTCCCATCCACAGGTGGGGCGTCAGAGGTGACTCGGGAGTTCATGGCTTCCATGACGGCCTTGGACCTGACCCAGTTAGTTCAAGGCCCCACTCACATGGGGGGACACACTCTGGACCTGATTTTTATCTCTGGTCAGTGGTTGAATGATCTTGGTAGAGGGGACCTAGACATCAAACCCTTGTCATGGACAGATCATTCGCTCCTTCACTTAGACTTTCCTACCGCTTTCCCCCGCCGCAGGGAGACGGAACCAACCAGATGGTTCCGTCCCAGGCGCCTGATGGATCCCGAAAGGTTCCTGACGGAGCTTGGGCCGTTTCCTGAGACTCTAACACACGACTCGACTGAAGAACTGGTGGCCGCCTGGGAAAGGGCGGCCGCTGGAGCTTTGGACCGCGTCGTGCCTTTGCGGCCTCTGACCCGATGCCGATCTCAATTAGCTCCTTGGTTCTCTGAGGAGCTGAGAGAGAGATGAAGCGTCGGAAAAGACGCCTAGAGAGCATTTGGAGGACTAGTCAATCCGATTCTGACCGGACACAGGTGAGGTCTTATATCAAGACCTACCTAGTGGCGATAAAAGCGGCAAAATCTAACCATTTTTCCGCTCTTATCGCATCTGCAGAGAACCGCCCAGCTGCCCTGTTTAGGGTGACCCACTCCCTTCTTCGGGGGGGAGTACGGGAAGATCCCTTGCAGGGTCGTGCTGAGGATTTTGTGCAGTTCCTGCATGATAAAGTTGCTCGGATTCGGGATGGCTTGTACTCCGATTGGATGAGTCCACGGGAGGAGACGGGGCAGGTCTTGAGAATGTTATCTGGGAGGAGTTTGATCCTGTGACTCCCGAGGATGTGGACAGAGTTCTGGGTAAGATTAGTGCCGCCACGTGTTTATTGGACCCGTGCCCCTCCTGGTTGGTACTGGCCTCCCGGGAGGTTACACGAGGCTGGCTCCAAGGGATTATAGGTGCTTCTCTGAGTGAAGGTGACTTTCCTGCCGCCTTGAAAGAGGCGGTGTGGTGAGGCCCCTCCTCAAGAAGCCTTCCCTGGACCCGGCTGAATTAGCTAACTATCGTCCAGTCTCCAACCTTCGTTTTGTGGCGAAGGTTGTTGAGAGCGTGGTGGCACGACAACTTTCCCAACACCTGGATGAAGCTATCTATCTAGACCCGTACCAGTCGGGCTTCAGGCGGGGGTACAGCACAGAAACGGCATTGGTCGCGTTGGTGGATGATCTCTGGAGGGCTCGGGACAGGGGTTGCTCCTCTGTCCTAGTCCTATTAGATCTCTCAGCGGCTTTTGATACCATCGACCATGGTATCATGCTGCAGCGGTTGAGGGGGTTAGGAATAGGGGGCACCGTTTTGCGGTGGTTCTCCTCCTTCCTCTCCGACCGCTCGCAGTTTGTGTTGGCAGGGGGACAGAGGTCGACCTCGAGGCGTCTCACATGGGGGGTGCCGCAAGGGTCAGTCCTCTCGCCCCTCCTGTTCAATATTTATGTGAAGCCGCTGGGTGAGATCATCCGTGGTTTTGGGGTGAAGTGCCATCTGTACGCTGATGATACTCAGCTGTACATCTCCACCCCAGACCACCCCAACGATGCCCTTGATGTGATGTCTCGCTGCCTGGAGGCCGTGCGGGTCTGGATGGGGAAGAACTTGCTCAGACTCAACCCCTCCAAGACCGAGTGGCTGTGGCTTCCGGCGCCCCGATATAGTCAGCAGGTGCCATCGCTAACTATTGGGGGTGAATCTCTGCCCCCCACAGACAGGGCTCGCAATCTGGGTGTCCTTCTGGATGCACGGCTGTCTTTAGAAGAGCACATGACGGCCGTGGCCAGGGGGGCCTTTTATCAGGTTCGCCTGATTCACCAGTTGCAGCCCTTTCTGGATCGGGAAGCCCTACGCACGGTCACTCATGCCCTTGTTACTTCCGGTTGGACTATTGTAATGCTCTCTACATGGGGCTCCCCTTGAAGAGCACTCGGAGGCTCCAACTGGTCCAGAATGCAGCCGCGCGGGTGGTTATGGGCGCAACTCGTTGTGCCCATGTGACACCCCTCCTGCGCGAGCTGCACTGGCTCCCAGTGGTCTTCCGGGTGCGATTCAAGGTGTTAGTTACCACCTTTAAAGCACTCCATGGCATAGGACCGGGTACCTCCGAGACCGTCTTCTGCCACCAATAGCCTCCCACCGACCAGTCCGTTCCCACAGGGAGGGTCTCCTCAGGGTGCCGTCAACCAAGTTATGTCGACTGGCGACGCCCAGAGGGAGGGCCTTCTCTGTGGGAGCCCCAGCCCTATGGAACGAACTGCCCCCGGAAATTCGTAAGATCTCCGACCTCCGGGCGTTTCGCTGCGCACTGAAGACCCTGTTGTTCCGCCAGGCCGGACTAACAACACAATAGTTTTTAAATTGGGATATTTAAATTTATTGGGGTTTTAAATCTGAGCCACTTATTTAATTATTTTAAATTTTTATATTGTTGTTTTCTTTGTGTTTTTTAAACAGGCTGTACACCGCCCTGAGTCCTTCGGGAGAAGGGCGGTATAGAAATAAAATTATTATTATTATTATTATTACTCTACTCCACTCTATTCTTCATTCCAAAATTCTATTCTATTCTATTCTATTCTATTCTTATTCTATTCTATTCTATTCTATTCTATTCTATTCTATTCTATTCTATTCTATTCTATTCTACTCTACATTCCAATATTCTACTCTACTCTACTCTACTCTACTCTACTCTACTCTACTCAACTCTACTCTTCATTCCAATATTCTATTCTACTCTACTCTACTCTACTCCACTCTATTCTTCATTCCAAAATTCTATTCTATTCTATTCTATTCTATTCTATTCTATTCTATTCTATTCTATTCCTATTCTATTCTATTCTATTCTATTCTATTCTATTCTATTCTATTCTTTCAGCATTTCTATGAGCAGAGAGGAGGTGATGTTTTCCAAACTTTCTGCTAAATTAAGATCACGTCACCAGCCTTTCTGGTTTGCCTCTTTTCTTTTTGAACCCAGATTTCCTCCACGCTCTCAAGGACTTGCTTCCAGAAGAAGACACAGATCTCCATTCAAATTCTGCACTTTTCAGTCCTCTTGAAGTGGCTACTTTGCTGGACACGTCTGCTTTCCATTCTCCGGTCAGTGTTGAATTACCCAAAGTTTTATTGCGCTCTTCTATATTTGCTTCAATTGTTGGTTATTACTTTTAAAGCAAGCATGCAGGTTACTTCAGGAATCAGCTCACCCCAGAAGGGACGATCCAAATGGACGATCATTTAAACATGAGCTAGCAGTGTGTGGCAACAGCCAAAACAGCTAATACAATCCTTGGTTGTGTAAACAGAGGCGTAGAATCAAAATCATGTGAATTATTAGTACCACTTTATAAACCTTTAGTAAGACCACACCTGGAAGACTGCAACCAATTTTGGTCACCACATTACAAAAAAAGATGTTGAGACTTTGGAAAAAGTGCAAAGAAGAGCAACTAGGAGGATTACAGGTCTGGAGACTAAAGCATATGAAGAACAGGGTTTTATTTATTTATTTATTTATATGCCACCCTTCTCCGGAGACTCAGGGCGGCTTACAATGCGTTAAGCAATAGCCTTCATACTTTTGTATATTTTATACAAAGTCAGCTTATTGCCCCCACAAACCGGGTCCTCATTTTACCCACCTTAGAAAGGATGGAAGGCTGAGTCAACCTTGAGCCTGGTGAGAATTGAACTCGCAGTAATTGCAGGCAGCTGGAAGCTAAATACCATCTTTAACAGTAGCATTAGTCTGCTGCGCCACTCAGGCTCTGAGCTGCAGGAATTGGGTTTGGCTAGTCTAGAGAAAAATAGAATAGAATACAGCTGGAAGGGACCTTGGAGGTCTTCTAGTCCAGCCCCCTCCTCAAGCAGGAGAACCTATATCATTTCAGATAAGTGGCTGTCTAATCTCTTCTTAAAAGCCTCCAGTGATGGAGCACCCACGACTTCTGGTGGCAAGCTGTTCCACTGGTTAATTGAATTCACTGTTAGAAAGTTTCTCCTTAATTCCAGGTTGCTTCTCTCTTTGATGAGTTTCCATCCATTATTTCTTGTCCTGCCCTCGGGTGCTTTGGAGAATAGCTTGACTCCCTATTCTTCTTTTTTTTTTTTTATTTGATTTATATGCCGCCCTTTTCCGGAGACTCAGGGTGGCTTACAATGCGTTAAGCAATAGCCTTCATACTTTTGTATATTTATACAAAGTCAACTTATTGCCCCCACAAACTGGGTCCTCAATTTACCTACCTTAGAAAGGATGGAAGGCTGAGTCAACCTTGAGCCTGGTGAGATTCGATCTTACTTTAATTGTAGACAGCTGGTGTTAAATTACAGAGCTCTGTCTGTTGAGCTATCCAGGCTCCCTCTCTTCTTTGTGGCAGGCCCTAATTCTTCTTTTCTCCAGACTAGCTAAACCCAAATCCTGCAGCCATTCTTCATATGTTTTCGTCAGGACTAAAGGAAGGATTAAGGAGGACATGATAGCAGTATTCCAGTATTTGAGGGGCTGCCACAAAGAAGAGGGGGTCAATTTATTTTCCAAAGCACTAGAAGACAGGAAACAGTGGATGGAAACTAAGCAAGGAGAGAAGCAACCTTGAATTAAAGAGAAACTTCCTAACGGTGAGAACAATTAATCAGTGGAACAGTTTGCCTCCAGAAGTTGTGGGTACTTCATCATTGGAGGTTTTTACGAAGAGACCGGACAGGCACCTGTCTTCAATGATGTAGGGTCTCCTGCTTCAGCAGGGGGTTGGACTAGAAGACCTCCAAGGTGCCTTTCAGCTCTATTCTGATTGATCGATTGGGACTGGCCCTACCCTACCCACATCGGCAGAGGGGACATATTGCGGATCCCGTCAATCAAAGATTTATGGCCAGCGGGATCCAGGAGAATGACGTTCTCTGCTGTGGCTCCTGATCTTTGGAACATCTTACCACCTGTGGTGAGATCAGCTCCCACCTTTGCAAGAGCCTGGTTCTGCCAGATGGCTTGGAGCTCCAATGGAAAAAAACATCATAAATTGTAGTCACATTTATTTTATTTATTTATTTTAATTTGATTTATATGCCGCCCTTCTCCGGAGACTCAGGGCGGCTTACAATGCGTTAAGCAATAGCCTTCATACTTTTGTATATTTATACAAAGTCAGCTTATTGCCCCCACAACTGGGTCCTCAATTTACCTACCTTAGAAAGGATGGAAGGCTGAGTCAACCTTGAGCCTTGGCGAGATTCGAACCAGCAGTAATTGCAGGCAGCTGAATGATAATAACAGGCTATTAGTCTACTGTGCCACCAGGCTCCTTGATTGCAGGATGCTAAAAATGACCATAAGGTGGGCCTGTTACTGAGCATGTTACTGAGCATCATGTGAAATGCAATCATGTGATCATGGGGGGGGTGGCCATCAGAATTTTGAATCTGGGTCCTAAGCAGTGGTGGGTTTCAAATTTTTTTACTACCAGTTCTATGGGTGTGGCTTGGTGGGCATGGCATGGCATGGCATGGTGGGCGTGGCAGGGGAAGGATACTGTAAAATCTCCATTCCACCCCATTCCAGGGGAAGGATACTGCAAAATCCCCATTTCCTCCCGATCAGCTGGGACTTGGGAGGCAGAGAATAGATGGGGGCAGGGCCAGTCAGAATTTTTACTACTGGTTCTCTGAACTACTCAAAATTTCCACTACTGGTGGAACTGGTCAGAACTGGTCAGAACCTGCTGAAACCCACCCCTGGTCCTAAATACTTTTTTGAGGGGTCCATCATAACTTGGAACAGTTGCTAAGTGACCAGTTGTAAGTCAAGAATTATCTGTGTTCTTGGGGATGATTTGTATCACTTAGCTAGAGATAGCGAGGCCGAGGTTAGCTGTACACAAAACCACTATTGCCACTTTGAAAATAGAGAATTCATATCAGCAGATCCCAAAGGTGCTTTTTCCAAAGGCAACTGGACTTTGTGTTTCCTTGAAGACATTTCATGTCTCATCCAAGAAGCTTCTTCGGTTCTGACTGAATGGTGGAGGAGCTGAAGAAGCTTCTTGGATGAGAAACGAAACATTTAAAAAACAAAGAAAATCCAGTTGCCTTTGGAAAAAGCACTTTTGGGACAACCACGACCTGGATGACTGAGAATCTCCATTTCACATATCAGCAGATCTTTCTCTTTCTCTCAATCCCATAATTTCAGGGTCCCACCTGGGTTGCAAAATCCTCTAGCTAGCTTAGCGCTTCATCACGTGATCGTGATTGGTTTTTGCACAGCTACTCTGCTTGATCAATGCTCTGAACATACCAAAATAGATGTAGGAATCTTGCAGGTAAGTTTGGCTTACTCATCAGCATTCTTGGCTGCACCAACTTCTCTTTACAGATGTCTGACTCTCTCAGTTCCAGTGAGAACGAGAAGCTGGATAACCTACATCTGGAAATGGTGGTGTTACAGGAGGAAGTCCAGAGGCTGAAGGTAAGGCCATCAACCAGAAGGCTTATTTCCATGTGTAAGTTGATGATGGTCATTGGCATAATAGCAATAGCAGTAGCACTTAGACTTACATACTGCTTCACAGTGCTTTACAGCCCTCTCTAAGCGGTTTACAGAGTCAGCATATTGTCTCCAACAATCTGGGTCCTCATTTTACCCACCTCGGAAGGATGGAAGGCAGAGTCCACCTTGAGCCTGGTGAAATTCGAGCTGCTGGCAGAGTTAGCCTGCAATACTGCATTCTAAACACTGTGCACCATGGAAGAACGGAAGGAAGGAAGGAAGGAAGGAAGGAAGGAAGGAAGGAAGGAAGGAAGGAAGGAAGGAAGGAAGGAGAGAATAGCAATAGCAATGGCACTTAGACTTATATACAGCTTCACAGTGCTTTCCAGCCCTCTCTAAGCAGTTTACAGAGTCAGCCTATTGCCCCCAACAATCTGGGTCCTCATTTTAACAACCTCGAAGGATGGAAGGCTGAGTCAACCTTCAGTCAATCAGGATCGAGCTCCTGGCAGTGAGCAGTGAGTTAGCCTGCAATACTGCATTCTAACCCCTGGACTAGAAGATTTCCAAGATCCCTTCCAGCCCTATTCTATGATTCTATATCTACTTGGAAAAGACATGGATGAGCAGAAGACCATGATCATTTGACTTCCGCTCAGAGCTACAGACTAGGCTTCCTGACTGTTTTTACCTAACGGTGTGGGTGTCAGTCTTTTGACTTTTATTAAAATCATGTCAAGAAGACCACTTTCCATTGGAAGCCATGACAAGATCAGCTGGTTTGTTGATAGTTAAGGACACCATGACAAAGGTTACCAAACTCTGAGAAGGTTTGAGGAACATAAAGTCACAGGTCCACTTGAATGGGGATTATTATTATTATTATTTAAGACAGCACTTTCTGGATTGATGACACTGTAACCCTTCCCCTCCTCTCCCCTCCCCTCCCTTCCCTTCCCTCCCCTCCCCTCCCCAGTCTCTCCTGAAGGAGGTGGAAAGCAATAAGAAGTCTATGGAAGACCAGCATCACAAATTAAATCAGGTCAGTGATGGGGACGGGTAGGACACCTCTGTTTCATTGACCTGAAGACGTACATGATTAAGGCTTACGACTGTGACAACAGCTCCCAAGGCTAGAACTCTGAAGTATAGGTAGTCCTTGATTTACAATCGGGTGTGAGCTTCAAAAATGTTAGCAAAAGGTTCTCTGCCCGGTTGCTGGGTGGGCGTGGCCATGGTGGGCATGGCCTAGTCAGCCTCCTGCAACATGGCGGGGTGGGTGGGTGTGTTTTTGCCCTCCCTGGGCTCTGGAGGCTTTCCTCAAGGAAAATGGCCTCCCCAGGCTCCAGAGGCCCTCTGGAGGCTGGAAACTGGCCAGGAACTTCCTGATCATCTGGTAGGCCCGTTTTTTACCCTCCCTGAGCCTCCGTGCATGCCCTGCATTTACCCATATCCAAAACGGTCTGTGTGGGGACTCCTGGTAGGGGCGGGGTGGGATGGGCAGGGCCAGCCAGGAGTGGGATTTGGGGGTTCTCTGAACTGCACAGAATCTTAGCTAGAGGCTCTCCCAAAGCTCTGCGAACCCCCAGCAGCCCACCCCTGATTTACAACTATTCATTTAGTGACCATTTGAAGTCACAATGGCACCGAAGAAAGAGGCTTAGGACCGGCTTTCAAACTTACAACTGTTGCAGCATCCCTCCAGTCACATGATCAAATTTCAAGCACTTGGCAACTGGCATGTACTTATGACGGTTGCACCATCCCGTGGTCATGTGATCACTATTTGTAATCTTCCCAAATGTTTTCCAACAAGCAAAGTCAATGTGGGAAGCCAGATTCGCTTAAACGACCACACTAGTCTCTTTAACAAACGGGCCAAAAATTTGTAAAATGGGGCAAAACTCACTTCACAGCTGCCTGGCTTAGCAATAGAAATTTGGGGGCTCACTTGGGGTCATAACTCGAGGACTACCTGCCTTCCTGACAGATGGAGCTAGAGTCACCATCAAATTCTGAGTCTGCAAAGGGGAATTGGATATATGGCGATTATTATTTTTTTTACAAGCTCTAAACAGTTTTCTTTCTTCAATCAAGTTCCATTCATGGCTTCTATCAAACATGTCTATGTTCCTTTCCACCAACCCCAAGCATTCATCCTGATTGTCACCCCTCCAAAGATCTATCCTCGCTCTAATCCTTTGACCTCTTTTAATAGCAGAGATTGAGAAGGAAAGTACCATAGAATTGTAGACAGGGGTGGGCTTCAAAAATGTTACCAAGGGGTTTTCTGCCCGGTTGCTTGGTGGACGTGGTCATGGTGGGCGTGGCCTAATCAGCCTCCTGCACCACGGTGGGGGGAGGGTGTTTTTGCCCTCCCCGGGCTCCGGAGGCTTTCCTCGAGCCTCCAGGAGGGCGAAAACGGCCTCTCCATCCATGCATGTGTGCGGCTTCAAAACCACAGCAATATAGGACGGGGTTGCACCCAGGCGGGTGCATAGTACCTGCAGGTGGCTACTACCAGTTCGCCTGAACCGATCTGAACCGGCTGAATATCACCTCTGCACGCAGCGATTTTAAGGGTGGGAACTGGCAAAGCAGTTTACTCTAAATTACAGACATCAACAAAACGACCTTTTATGTTACGGAAGGGTCATCCCATCCTTCAAGGTAACCCAGAGAAGAAGCACAACCCATGGGTATAAATATTACCTTTATTGTAAGATTAAAGATCAAGGTTCTCTCTGACTCTAGGAGGTGATGCCTATTCCCATTTCTTAGTTGAGGGAGCCAGTATTGTCCAAAGACACTTCCATGGTCATGTGGCCAGCATGATTATATGCCAAGGTGCACAGAACGCTGTTACTTTCCCACTGAAGTGGTACCTATTTATCTACTTGCATTTGCATGCTTTTCAACTGATAGGTGGGCAGGAGCTGGGGCAAGAATGGGAGCTCACCCTGTTGGGTGGCATTCAGGTCTCCAACCCTGGCTGTCAACTTTCCAGCTGACATACTCAGTGTCTTTAATCACAGAGCCATCACACCCTCCCTTGTTGTAAGGTTATAGTAACAGAATCTTGCAGGCCTTACTCTCCCCTCCTTTGTTTTTACTTTCCAGTAAACCAGGGAGAGCCCACAGAAGGAAAGCCCCACCTGCTTTCCTTCTGTGGGCTCCACTGCCTCTTATCTTAACCGTTGCCTAGTCTGCAGCTCTTCCTCCTGTCTCCCAAGGGCATTCTCACATATACCGTGACCTCTACATCTCTTTCCCTCTTCTTCCCCAAATTTTAGAAGGCGTTGAGCTTCCTCCAAGAGAACCAATGTCTGCAGAACAAGCTGCAAGCCGCGGAAGTCTTCCGGTGGCGAGCCCAGAGCGCGGAACAGGATTACGAAGAAGTCATCCACCTGTTGGAAGCTGAGATCATGGAGCTGAAATCCCAGCTGATGGGGAAGAAGAACAAGGAGCTTTTGGAAGCAGAGGTCAGGCCAAAGCAAGAGGAACCATCTGGTTTCCTTCCTTGCACTGTGGTTGTCTTGCATAAGGACTGTGTTCTGACCCAGCTTCCCCAAACACGACAAACCCTCTGAAGTTAACTCAAAGTTTCCTTTATTAGGAGCGCCAGAAGACCCGGCAAAAAGTTTCTCTCTCAACGCAGGCTAACAAATCTGTCCGGCAGGGAGATGAATAGTCGTCTGCCACATCTATTCATCTCCGCTCCCTGCCTTTTGTCAGCAGACTGAGGCGTTTAGTACTGTATTTTCCCCAAAATAAGACCTAACTGGAAAATAAGCCATAATGTGTCTTGTGGAGCAAAAATTAATATAAGCCCTGGTCTTATTTTGGGGAAAACACGGTACCTAGGATCGAACTCAAGCCTCCTGATTGTGAGGTGAGAGCTCCATCTCTAGGCCACCGCACTACTCCTTCTGTGTCACCATCATGTTTTTACTAATATTTTGCTTCTGGAGCAAAACTTATTTGATAAACACCCAGGTGAGCAAATGTGTGTCAAGTTGCTCTGTCTAAAACTAATCATCTTCTCTTCCAACTTCTCTCTTTTCTCTCTTTTTTCTATTTCCCCCCAAAATCAGAGCGATGCCTTAGAACTGAAGAAACACCTGTCCTCGGTGAACGAACAGTTGCAGAAGTCCGAGGTCGCCCAGAAGCACCTGGAAATTTACAACAGGAAACTGCTATTGTTTGTTCAGGTGATCTGTTCAGAACTCAGTGTCTAGATGATGGGCGGGCATCTGTGGCTCCTTTACCACCTGTGGACTTCAACTCCCAGAAATCCTGAACCAGCCACGCTCTTATTTATTTATGTATTTATTTATTGGTTCGATTTATATGCCGCCCTTTCTCCGGAGACTCAGGGCGGCTTACAATGCGTTAAGCAATAGCCTTCATACTTTTGTATATACCTGCTTAGTAGGGCTTTCGCGCCCCCCCCCAAGCGGTGTTCTTTTTTATACAAAGTCAGCTTATTGCCTCCACAATCCGGGTCCTCATTTTACCTACCTCGGAAGGATGGAAGCCTGAGTCAACCTTGAGCCTGGTGAGATTTGAACTGGCAGTAATTGCAGGCAGCTGGTGCTACTTAACAGCACTTTAGTCTGCTGCGTCACCAAGGCTCTTGGGAATGGCTCAGGAATTCTGGGCGTTGTATCCACAGGTTGTAAATGTCTATGGAGATTCTCAGTCATCCAGGTCATGGTTGTCCCAAAGATACTTTTTCAAAAGGCAACTGGACTTTCTGGAAAGTCCGGTCTGCTCTTTCTCTTGAAATAGCATCTTTCCAGAAAGTCCAAGTTGTCTCTAGAAAAAGCATCTTTGGGAGACATTTTTTTTCTAGTGTTATTATAACTTTGAATAGAGTGGTGCGGTGTGGCCTAGAGGTGGAGTTCTCGCCTCACAATCAGGAGGCTGGGAGTTCGATCCTAGGTATACAGGCAGATATTTCTCTTTCTGGGCACAATGAGATTATATCTGCTGAATAAAACTCCGCATTGGTGACAGGAAGGGCATCTGGCCAGTAAACACTCAGCTCAGTGGTGGGTTTCAACATTTTTTGCTACCGGTTCTGTGGGTGCGGCTTGGAGGGCGTGGCTTGGTGGGCATGGCAGGAGAAGGATACTGTAAAATCTGCATTCCTTCCCCACTCCAGGAGAAGGTTACTACAAAATCCCCCTTTTCTCCTGATCAGCTGGGACTCAGGAGGCAGAGAATAGATGGGGACGGGGCCAGTCAGAGGTGGTATTTATCGGTTCTCCGAACTACTCAAAATTTCCGATACCGGTTCTCCAGAATTGATCAGAATCTGCTGAAACCCACCTCTGACTCAGCTCCATTCAGTTGCCCAAGACTCCACCCCACATGCGATTATGGGGTTGTTAAATGATAATGATTATAACTTTCAATGGTTGTTGAACAAATGATTGTAAGTCAAGGGCAATCTCTAATCTGTTCCATGCTACCATCCATGTTGATTTGGGAACAATATTCTTGTGACAGATGTGACAACTCTATTCTAATAACGACAATAACATTAACATTATTTCCAGAAAGTCCAGATGCCTCTTGAATGGTCTTCCGGGTGCGATTTAAGGTGTTGGTTACCACTTTAAAGCGCTCCATGGCATAGGACCCGGGTACCTTCGAGACTGTCTTCTGCCACCAATAGCCTCCCACCGGCCAGTCCGCTCCCACAGAGAGGGTCTCCTCAGGGTGCCATCGGCCAAGTTATGTCGGCTGGCGACACCCAGGGGGAGGGCCTTCTCTGTGGGAGCCCCAGCCCTGTGGAATGAACTGCCCCCAGAAATACGTAAGATCTCCGACCTCAGGATGTTCCACTGCGCACTGAAGACTCTGTTGTTCCGCCAGGCCGGGCTATCAACATAATAATTTTAAATTGGGGTATTTTAAATTTCTGGGGTTTTAAATTGAGCCAAATCTATTTAATTATTTTAAATTTTTAATCGTTGTTTTGTCTTGTGTTTTTAAATAGGCTGTACACCGCCCTGAGTCCTTCGCGAGAAGGGCGGTATAGAAATAAAATTATTATTATTATTATTATTGAAAAAGCATATTTGGGACACAGGTTGTGAAGGGACTGCCGCTGCCCATCCCTGGTCTAGATCATCCCATTTATGCATGAAAGTAGGGGGCAATAATATGCTGGATGTTATTATTATTATTAGAAGAGATTTGTCACATCTGTCACAAGAACATTGTTCCCAAATCAACATGGATGGTAGCATGGAACAGATTACAGGTAGCCCTTGACTTACAATCATTTGTTTAACAACCATTCAAAGTTACAATAGCCATGAAAAAAGTGAGTTATGACTTGTCTTCACAGTTATGACCATTGCGGCATCCCTACAGTCACATGATCACAATCTGGGCACTTGGCAACTGGCATGTACTTATGACAGTTGCAGTGTCCTGGGCAGGGATGAAATCCAGCAGGTTCTAACAGGTTCTGGAGAACCGGTAGCAGAAATTTTGAGTAGTTTGGAGAACCGGCAAATTCCACCTTCTGGCTGGTCCCAGAGTGGGGTGGGAATGGAGATGTTGCAATATCCTTCCCCCAGGAGTGGGGAGGGAATGGAGATTTTGCAGTATCCTTCCCCTGCTACGCCCACCAAGCCATGCCCACAGAACTGGTAGGGAAAAAATTTGGATTTCACTCCTGGTCCTGGGATCATGTGATCTCCATTTGCGACCTTCCCAACTGACTTCTGACAAGCAAAGTCAATGGGGGAAACTGAATTCACTTAAGGACCTTGCAGCTCACTTAACAACCGCAGTGATTCACTTAACAACATGGCTAAAAAGGTCGTAAAATCAGGCGTGATTCCCTTCTGGCTTACCAATGGAAGTTCTGGGTTCAACTGAGGACTTCCTGTATTGTAGTTTCTTTCTTTTTTTGGTTCAGATTCTGCACAAATAGAACCATTTATTTGTGGCCACAAAAAAGGATGTGTGTCGAGCAGATTATGGCAAGAAAAAAAAAAGGACGCAAAATTTGAAGTTTGAGTTTGAAAAGAAAAGACAGGGCTTTAGGCTGAAAAATATGTGTGTTAGGGGAAATTGTGTAGAAGAAATCACACCAGGACAGCTAACATTACAATGGATTTAAATTCACAGTCGTGTGTTGGAGAAATTGGGTGGAAGAGCTTTTTATCTTAGGAAAGGATGGAGGTAGTTTAAAATGAAACTAACAATGGATTGAGAAGAGCCGTGGCGGCGCAGTGGTTAGAATGCAGTACTGCAGGCTCATTCTGCCAACTGCCAGGAGTTTGATTCTGACCAGCTCAAGATTGACTCAGCCTTCCCTCCTTCCGAGGTGGGTAAAATGAGGACCCAGATTGTTGGGGGCAAATAGGCTGACTCTGTAAACTGCTTAGAGAGGGCTGGAAAGCACTGTGAAGCAGTATATAAGTCTAAATGCTACTGCTACTGCTACTGCTATTGCTATTCTCCCCTTCCTTCCTTCCTTCCTTCCTTCCTTCCTTCCTTCCTTCCTTCCTTCCTTCCTCCCTTCCTTCCTTCCATGGTGCACAGCAGTTAGAATGCAGTATTGCAGGCTAACTCACTGCTCACTCCCAGGAGTTTGATCCTGACTGACTCAAGGTTGGCTCAGCCTTCCTGCCTTCCGAGGTGGGTAAAATGAGGACTCAGATTGTTGGGGGCCGTAGGCTGACTCTGTAAACCGCTTAGAGAGGGCTGGAAAGCACTGTGAAGCTGTATATAAGTCTAAGCGCTATTGCTAAGGGCTATCTCCCTTTAATTTTGACAATAAGACCATGCATGTCCTTATTTGTGTGTGTGTGTGGGTGGGTATTTACTTTTTCCATTAAAAGCATATCTCCTGCTCCAAGATTAAAGGTTGGGAATCAAATACTCCTTTTTTCATTTTTCAGCTGAACTTTAGCACATCAGCCTGACTAGGTGGCTTCAGCCTGACTCAAGTGGCTAAGACACTGAGTTTGTCGATCAGCAAGGTTGGCAGTTTGGCGGTTCAAATCCCCAGTACAGATCTCCTATGTGAGCAGGGGGTTGGACTAAAAATCAGGGGTGGGCAAATGTGGCTCTTTTACAACCTGTGGACTTCAACTCAGGAATTCTGGGAGTTGAAGTCCACAGGTTGTAAAAGAGCCACATTTGCCCACCCCTGGACTAAATGACTTCCAAGATCCCTTCCAACTCTTGTTAGTGTTAAAAAAACTAAAATGGCTGACCTTGATCTAATTTTGAACTTCGATTTACCTTCTTAAATGATTTTTGTTTCTATTTTACCTCTCGGTGGAAAAATGGGTCTTCCTTGGAGGGAGCCATAAAAATTCAGCCAAGAAAACAGATGTTTTGGTAGCACTGATGAGGTCACGATCCAGCAATGCTGACACCCTTTTTCATGCTTTGTTTTTAACCAGCATGCGCACAGATTACTGAGCTCGTCTTGCTCTTTACCAAAAAAGAGGTAAGAACTTCCTTGAGCTTCATTCTTACCACTTGTCATCGTCACATCAAAAGTGGTTTTTATTTTGAAAACACAATTGGACTGGTTTTTTTTTTTTTTTTTTTGAGGCTTAAGAAAAACAGGCAAACCAAATTAATTCAAACACTTCGTGCAATGAAGGATATCTGACATCCTTCTTGATTCCGTGATGGCAGTTCTGATGATATTCCATGATTCTGGGAATATCAAAAGTGGTTTTAATTTTGAAAAGGGAACTAGACTGATTTTTTTTTTTTTTGAGGAAAAATAAGATGTTTCGCCTCCTATCTTGGAAGCTTCATCAGTTGCAGTGGTAGGTTGCTACTGGTTCACCCCAGTTCAGGCGAATAGGTAGCAGCAGCAGCGGGAGGCTCCGCCCACTCGCCCGGACGTCATCAAATACACTCTGTGCATGCACGAGCGAACTGGTAACAAAGGTAAGTTAAACCTACCACTGATCAGTTGTATTGGATGCTGTGGGAGATGGAAGGACAGTTATTGACAGTTGAGATTACCGTGTTTCCCCCCAAAATAAGACCCCATTTTATATTTTTTTGAACTCTGAAATAAGCGCTTGGCCTTATTTTCAAGGATGTCTTATTATTTTGGAGCAAGATGGAGCTCCTCTTGCCGTCTTATCTGATTTCCAGCTCTGTCTCCCTAACCCTAACCAGAGGAAATGGCGGGGACCGGCTGTGCATGCGGTTAAATATTTTGGGGGAGGGCTTATTTTTTTGGGGGGGAGGCTTAATTTAGTGCACGCACTCAAAAGCCCAATTTGGCTTATTATCAGGGGATGTCTTATTTTAGGGGAAACAGGGTAGTTATGGGGGAGGAATGATGGGTTCTGACAGGATGGTGGTGGGGGAAAATGGAAAAATTGTGTTTTCTGTGCAGTCATCTGGTCCACCTGTCATTCCCACACCCCCACCTCCAACTAATCTTAACTGTCAATAGCTGTCCTACCATCTCCCACAGCAACCAATACAACTGATGCCGCTTTCAGGACAGGTGGCGAAATGTCTTCTTCTGCCTCAAAAAGAATCAGTCCAAGTTTTCTTTTCAAAAATAAAAACCACTTTTTGATGCGTGCAGGATGTTCAAAATAGTTTCTATGGATGTTCTGAGTAACCCTTACGAAGGACTTGTAAGATAGACTGTTGTTCTTCTACATCTCATTTATTTATTTGCATCCTACTTTTATTATTATTAACAAATCACTGAAGGCAGCATACGTATTCGACACACTTTTCTCCTCCTATTTTTTCCACAGCAACAACCCTGTGAGGTAGGTTGGGCTGAGAAAGAGTGACTGGTCCAAAGTCACTCAACTGGCTTTCATGCCTAAGGCAGGGCTAGAACTCACCATCTCCTGGTGATTGGCCCAAAGTCACCCAGCTGTTTCACAGCTAAGGTAGGACTAGACTCACCGTCCTGGTAATTGGCAAAGTTACCAGTTGGCTTTCACAGCTAAGGTGGACTAGAACTCACCGTCCTGGTGATTGGCCCAAAGTTACCCAGCTGGCTTTCACAGCTAAGGTAGACTAGAACTCACCGTTCCTGGTGATTGGCCCAAAGTCACCCAGCTGGCTTTCACAGCTAAGGTAGGACTAGAACTCACCGTCTCCTGGTGATTGGCCCAAAGTCACCCAGCTGGCTTTCACAGCTAAGGTAGGACTAGAACTCACCGTCTCCTGGTGATTGGCCCAAAGTCACCCAGTTGGCTTTCACAGCTAAGTAGGACTAGAACTCACCGTCTCCTGGTGATTGGCCCAAAGTCACCCGCTGGCTTTCACAGCTAAGGTAGGACTAGAACTCACCGTCTCCTGGTGATTGGCCCAAAGTCACCCAGCTGGCTTTCACAGCTAAGGTAGGACTAGAACTCACCGTCTCCTGGTGATTGGCCCAAAGTCACCCAGTTGGCTTTCACAGCTAAGGTAGGACTAGAACTCACCGTCTCCTGGTGATTGGCCCAAAGTCTACCCAGGGCTTTCACAGCTAAGGTAGGACTAGAACTCACCGTCTCCTGGTGATTGGCCCAAAGTCACCCAGCTGGCTTTCACAGCTAAGGTAGGACTACTCACCGTCTCCTGGTGATTGGCCCAAAGTCACCCAGTTGGCTTTCAGGGCTAAGATGGAACATGATATCTCCTGTTTTCTAGCCTGGCGCTTTAACCATTAGACCAAACTGGCTCTTTCATAATGCAAGTAGCAAAGTTGAATGAGTACGGCTTTCTTCAAAGTTTCCCTGAGCATTAGCCCTTTTAGATAGTCCAGGCATGAAACCAAAACCAGGAATATTAACACTACTTTTATAATACCTGCAACAGAATCTTGCAAATCTGCAAGCACTTCTCTCTCTTACTTTTACTTTCCAGAGAACTAGGGAAGGTCCCTTCTGTGATGCTTCCTCCATCCCCATTTTTTCTCTGGGCTCAGATTCTTTTCATCTGACCATTGTCTAGGCCCATGATGGCGAACCTATGGCATGCGTGTCACAGGTGGCATGCAGAGCCCATATCTGTGGGCTCGTGAGCATTGCCCTAGCTCAGCTCCAGCGTGTATGCGCACACCGATCAGCTAATTTTTGGGAAGCCAGGAAATGAGCCATTTCCAGACTCCAGAGGGCCTCTGGAGAGGGGAGGGTTGGGGAAGGCCGTTTTCGCCCTCCCCAGGCTCCTAGAAAGGCTCTGGAGCCTGGGGAGGGTGAAAAACAGGCCTTCCAGTCCCACCGGAAGTCAGGAAACAGGCTATTTCCAGCCTCCGGAGGGCCTCTGGGGGGAGTGGGGAAGAACATTTTCGACCTCCCCAGGCTCCAAAAAAGCCTCTGGAGCCTGGGGAGGGCGAAAAATGGGCCTACCCGGCCCACCGTGACATTGCGTGCCAAAAGTGGGGGAATGGGGGGGTTACATCCACATGTGTGGGGATGGGGCGCATTGAATTATGAGTGTGGGCATGCACACGTGCGACCCTCACTTTTGGCATGCAATGGCAAAAAGTTTAGCCATCACTGGTCTAGGCTGTGGGTTCTTCTGTCTCCCAAGGTTATCCTCATATCCCATTACACCAAGAGACTACGAAGTAGGAATTCACAAACAATCACATTTTCCCTCCTAAGGATTGACAGCCAAGAGGATGAGGACAAGACAAAAGAGGTTTCAGAAACTACCCTTCTCTCTTCAGAACTTGCCAGAATGTTGATCGCAGAAGGCAATGAACTGTTGGAGAATAACTCATTGTCAAGTGCTACAAGAGATGGTAAGTTCCATTTGTAGGCAATGCTGCTGGAAAAACCAGCTTCTTTTCTGTTATTACTCCAGTACATGGCAGCCGGGAGGATGGTAGAACTAGAAAGCAAGAAAGATTTCTTCCAAGCCTTGCACAAACATTACCCTGTCCAAGGTGCTGAAGTTCTGATTGTATCTTGCCTTGACCATCACTCTATACTTGACTTTGCTTGGCCATGAGGGAGCTTGATCTGAGTTGAAACAAAGGTCCCTCAGCACAATATCGAATCTGAACTAAACAAAGCTAGATCCTACAAGTCCTGAATAAATTGGCTTGCAGTTGGATATAGATGATTCCTTGCCTGTCGCCAATGGGTGAGGTTTAGATGATTGCAAACCAAGAGAATCTCAATTTGACCTACTGCAAGTGCTTCCCAAACCTTTTCTTTCATAAACCGAAAACTATTTATCAGAATATCTTGGTACTCTCTGAGCTTGGAGGTATTCTTGCATCATCAGTGCGTTACCTAGTTTGGTAATGAAATGTGTACAAGAAGGCCACTAAGTTCAGAGACTCCATCAAGGACATCACCGTTCAACCCTGAGCTACAAATATTTTCTTCTGTCAATCTTAATGAGGTTTGAGAATCAGGTTTGAGAAAGGGAGAATAGATCCTTTCCTTCAGCAGCATCATAACTTCAAACGGGCACTGAACAGATGGTCATAACTCAAGGGCTACCTGTATTATAAAAACAGTAGCCTTCAATGATCTTTACATCGTTTGCACCAATAACCATTGGTGGTTTCAGTTTTTCATCTTAATAGGAATATTTGAGAGTTATTTTAGTACACCCGGCAATCTTTAAGTCAATTTAAATGCCCCTTTTGCGATGGGTAATTGGTTTGTGTCATTACCCAAAGAAAAAACTACTTTTACCCAATTTGGGGTAATTTACTCAGATTTGGGGTACCCTGCCCTAGTGAGATCTAGTACAAAATGTCAACTTGCAAAGCATCCCTGGCCTGCTCTCGAGTCACCATAGGCCAGGGGGGATGGGAAATGGCATAGCATCCAAAGATATATGCACATATATCTTTGATATATGTGCATATATCAAAGATATATGCACATTTATCTTATCTCTCTCAAGGCTGTATCCCGGGGTTATCTACAGCAGCCAGAGGGGAGTGACCTCTACAACCCACAAAATTGCTCCGTTGGTGAATGCAATTGATGACACACCCCGGGGGGAGAGAGGATCATAATTGACAGGGTCATAATTGGAGCGTAAATTACGTAGGGTCAGAGATGGCTTCAACTTGAGAACATGTCGACATGAAGCTCCTAATAAAGACTGTATTTCTTTTGAAGCTTGGCTCAAGACTCATGATTTAATTAGGACATCCATCGGAACCCTGACACAAAGCTTTTCTCGTGAAATACTTCTGAACCTGCTCAATTGTACTGGTGTCAGATATATGGTGGGGATTCCAAATAGTTGAACAATACTCTAAGATCGGTATAGTATTAGTTTTATAAGCTCTAATTAGCAACTGCTACCAGTTCGGTAGGTGTGGCTAGGTGGGGGGGGGCATGTGACTTAGTAGGCGTGGCCAACTTGATGTCACTCACACCCACTCAGTCACATGACACCCCCCCCACCTAGCCATGCCCACATGAAAAGGTATGAAATTTTTTTGAATTCCTACCTATCTACCTGCGCCCTCCCTTCACCAGTCACCCCCATTATCCCTCCTTTAGCGACCCCGGCCCTAGCCCCACTTCCTCCCCCACCACCGCCTTTGTTCGGGCTGCTTACCTTCCACAGCGGCTGGTCCAGAGTCTGGAAGGCAAGCTGAACGGAGTTTTTGGCAGCCTCCAGCCAGCCGCTGCTGCTGGAAAGCGGCTGGCAAAGCTGCTGCTGTCGCTGCATGTTCTTTGTGCATGTGCATCCCACTGGACTTGCAAGGCAATGGGATATGCATGCGCAAAGAACATGGCGGCAACAAACATGGCGGTCAGGGCAAGTGAGCGGTGACCAGAGGACCAGTTCGAGGGTGTGGCCAGCCGGCCATCGCTACCAGTTTGGTGACCGGGGCCAAATTCCCACCACCGGTTCGCATGAACCGGTGCGAACCGACTGAATACCACCTCTGAATACGATGTTTACAGAATGTTTAGCAGTTGTAAGTCAAGGACCACTTGTAGCTGGTAAAGGGGTAGTTCTCATTTCTAAAATGACATTTACCAGGTTTCCTGAGACAGCCGGTGAGGGAGTAATATCTGATCCTTCCTCTCATGCTCCATTATAGAGGCAGAAGCGGAGTAACAGCAGGAAAGCAAGCAGATGAACGGTGGGGGGGGAGGAGCCAATGGAGACACAGATTTGTCGGATAAAAGGAGTTAAAGAGTCAGTTTGTGAGCGAGGGTGTAATTGAATTCTTCGGCTGAGATTAAAATTTGATATTAAAAAATTCAAGAGGGTTGAATGGGGGCTTGTCTGGTACACCAGCTGCTGACGTTTCTATTCTGAGCGAAGGTTAGGAACCTTGAGGGCATCTCCAGATTAGATGCTGATTGGGTTGACGATGACCTGGTGATGTTTTGTGATCTTCTGCTTTCATTGACAGCTCTACTGCAAGATTGGGACGACTGCCAAGCAGACGAGAGGTCCCCCAACTATGAATAATGAGGAACGTGGGACCATTTCCTCCAGAAGTTAAAGACTTTTTGGGCCATTTCTGGTCCACAACGCTCCTTCAGCATGAACCTTCTTTCAGTTGTCTCCACTGCTTCCTCAAGGTCTGAAAGAACAAGAACAATGGCAGCTATGATCTCTGGAAAGTCATTTCCGGAGGGCAGGTTAAGAACCCTAGAATCCTAGACTTGGAAGGCATCATGAGAGCTTCTAGTCCATCCCTTTCCACAGGGCAGGAATCCTCACACCCTTCTAGGCAATAGAGCTTGCCCAGCCTTGGATGAAAAACTCCACTGATGGAGCTCCAGAACTTCAGGAGGCGAACTGTTCTACATATATTCCATTTGGATAGGTCTCTGTAAAGCTTTATTTTTGCTTATTTATCTAAGCCCTTGCTGGGGAGAATAACCAGAGGACTGTCACTTAAATCATGGTGATTTTTACAAGAGCCTTGGTAGTACAGTGGTCTAAAGCATCCTGTTATTAAGACCAGATGCCTGCAATTACTGCAGGTTCAAATCTCGCCAGGCTCAAGGTTGACTCAGCCTTCCATCCTTTCTAAGGTAGGTAAATTGAGGACCCAGTTTGTGGGGGCAATAAGCTGACTTTGTATAAAATATACGAAAGGATGAAGGCTATTGCTTAGCACATTGTAAACTGCCCTGAGTCTCCGGAGAAGGGCGACATATAAATCAAATTTTAAAAAAATTTAACTGGGATTTAAGCGAGGGGGAAAGGTAAAATTTTCACTTAGTTTTTGCACTGTGTGTATGCATGCATTAATGCTGTTTTCTGTACAATTCTGGGCTCTTTTTTAGATGAAATATAGTATTACCCTATGGTACTTCCCCAGGTCAGGAGTTTGGCAGCCTCTTTTATCCCAACGAACAGATTTCGTTAGAGAGCTCGTGAAAGTTTATGCCTTGTAATTAAATTTTATTCACCTGAAAAGGAGTTACCAGATGCCTCTTGATTTATGGGTGGAAGAAATTATAAATAGAGAACAGATAAAGAGAAATAAAACTGATCATGAGCACGGCCATCATTTCTGTGCACCCAATCCTCAACAGATAGTCAGTGAAAATGATCTGCATTCAGATCAAATTTTTAACCCCCGTTTCTCTCCAAGGATTCTGTTGGATGCTTATCCTACGGTTGGGTAGATAATATATAGAAAACTATGTTCTGTAACTTTAACTGCTACAAGATGACTAATTGGCTGTGCTAAGCAGACATAAAAGAAGGCAGGAAGTTCATTCACTTCTGCTCCTGCTATTAGAAGATTGAACTGCTGAAAGGAACTGTGTCTGTGTTACTGGAGAGAACTGGAATTGTAAGCAAATGATGTTTTTGTGTTGAACCGTGATTATTTGAAGAAGTGTTATCTTTGTTTTGAGAAGCCAAGTTTGTTTTACTACAAGTAAAGACTTTATTTTTCTTTAAACGTTCAGAGTCTGTGAGTATCTGTGTATTTTGCTAAGCAACGTATCTATTCGCTGTCTGGTCCGTTGCACCACTTTGCAGAGGGCAGTTTTACCCTCAACACTGGTTATGGGCCCAGTGCCAGAGTGTGTGTACCAGTTACAGCAATAAGAGAGTTGTGACACACATTATTGCTCCAGACGTTCTGATACGTATTTAATATCATGGTGAGGATGGCACAAGGTCAAGCTCCCAACTTATCGCTGGTTACCCGGCTGGATGGCACCAACTACAAATCCTGATCCACCAAGTGCAGTCTCCTGATGCGCAAAGAAGGGCTATGGAATGTAGTGCAGAATCCACCAGATGTGACCTCCTGGAATGCTGACGATGCTGAGGATGCCAGGAAGATAGCCGAGTTCCAGAGGAAGAATGAGAGTGTATTGTGTATTATTGGTTTGTCTCTAGATGATACCCAGCTTGTTCACATCGAGGGTGAACAGTCTGCTGCAAGATGCTGGGGCAATTTGAAACGTGTTTATGTTCATGACACTGTGGGGGCACAAATTAACATTACACAAAAGTTGTTTCACACATGACTCCTTAAGGGTAGTGACATGTTAACACATCTGAATTGCATAAAAAGCATTTTTCGAGAGCTACATCAAAAGGAGGTGGTTTTTTCCGAGCAGCAACAGGTTTATATACTGTTATCATCGCTAGATGAGAGCTACGACGACGTAGTAACATCATTCTGAAGGTCTCACAGCAGCTACCCTCCATGGTCACATGACCCCATTTCTGGTGCTCAAGAAACGGCCTACAGTCATGGATGTTTGTAGCATCCCCTAGTCACATATCTGCATTTTGTGCTTCTGTACCAGAGACATATTCCTTGTGTGTCTAATCACACTTGGCCAAATAAATAAAGTATAGTATTTTATGATGGTTTTGCTGAAAAACGGCATTTACTTCTGGTCTAGGGTGGGCTTCAGATCCTTTGGCAACAGACTTCTGGTTGATATCGCAGTGGGAATGGATTGGAAAATAGTGGGCTCTGATGAGCTGCACAAAATCCAGCCGGACAAACCGCTGCCAGGAGGCTTTTGAGCCATAGCCATCTTGTAGGGACGGTGAAGAAAGGGTATGTGTTTTGTGGATTGCGAGGAATTGGCAATTTCCTCCCTGGAACAGAAACAGCTCTCCCGAAGTGGCAGCAGGTGCGGCAGCCATCATATGGTGGCCACCTTGAAGCTGGGACAACCGAACCGAAAAATTGTGCAGGAGTAGCAATTGGATGGAGTTCTAGAACTGGGTGAGATAAATGCCAATTTATACTAAGAAAAATCAAAATTGAAGTTTTAAAAGAATTTCTGAGCTTTGACTAGCGACTATTTGACATTTGGGAAAAAAAACATACACGTGGAACAAAGAGAAGGTGTGGATTGTAATATAAAGTATCTAACAGAAAGTCTTGGATTTGGAAAATTGGGAAAAGCAAATGATTTTTAAAAAGAAAAAAAATGATTTTTGGAAGAAAACAATAATTTATAAGAGAACTTTTAAAAATCATTGGACACTTTGACAGACAATTGGATAAAATAGCCTGCTTTGTAATGGAGTAGAAACAGAGAGTGCCGTCTGCTGGAGGAAAGAAAAAGTACTGTAACATTCTACTCAAATAGACAAAACAGAAGAAATAGCAGCTGGAAATTTTGACCTTGGCCATCTAGAAGAAGATAATTTGGACACTGTGAGAATTTTACATCTGTTTTACAACTGGGTGGTTGTTTTATTTCCCGTCTCTTCTGGAAGATAGCTTTATAATTGGATTCGACTGTTGTTGAATTTGGACAATAATTAATAATTGAGAATAACATTTTAACTTTAAAGAACAAAGGAATAATCGAAAGAAGAAGAAAAAGAAGAGAACTATATTGACTTAAAATTCTGGCTAAGTGCATAGAGATATAATTGCGGAGGTATTAGTAACCTTTTAAATGGTCATAAAATGGAGTTGCAGATGTATGAAGAGTTACTTTTGATGTTTAAAAGTATGCGTAAATCTTTAATAGGCAAAAAAGAAACTGAAAATTTATTTAAATATACAAGAAAAGAAAATGAAGAGAAGTTGGAAGAGGGAAATTTAAATGAGAAACAAGAAATTAACAATGTTGAAGAGAAAATATTAAAAGATAGAAATCAGATTGAGAGCATTATAGAAATGGTTGGGTAAGTAAAAAGCGCAGAGAGGAAAGGGGGGGAATTCCCCCTAAAAAAGAAACAGGCGAAAGGAAAGAAGGGGAAAATCTGGAAGAGACAAGGGAAAGTTTTGGTGAGGGATGCTCAAATAATACAACAAAAAAAGATAAAAGGAAGACAGAAGATGAAATGTAACATATATATATATATAAGAGAATTGAGAAGTTAGAGAGAGATAAAGGGTCATGCAAAAAATTATTAGAAAAGGGGATGCTAAAAAGATTTAGAGATGATGGTTAAAGATGAAGGATGATGGGGTAAAAATTGGCAAATATATATATCTGAGATAGATTAATAAATGGGAATGGGAAAGTAGACAATATAATAATAGTATTTTTGATAGTTTTTAAAATTAGAATGGAATTTTAATTGTTATAGTAGTGGTAAGAGAGAAGAATTATAGGATATAGATATACTGTGATGCTAGCTAGATGAAAGCATTGAAAATGAAATGATAAAGAAGTATGTAAGAATAATATGGTAGAAATTGAAAAAATATGATATGGTGGGAAATGATTATAAGTGAATATATGATAAAGGTGAATGAATAGAGTTTGTCTGCATTAAATCTTAATAGATAGAAATGTGAAAATAAGCAATTTGACAATATTATTAATTTTGATATCAATGTAAATTAAAATGGACATTTTAAAATGTTAATTGTAAAGAGAATAACAATGTTGAAATCATGAAAGTGACTATTTTTGCAAAGAAGAAGGAATAGAACATGTTTGTGATAAACTACAGCAGATGGAAAGCTGAAAATAAATAATCTCAGGATATTATTAATTTTGATAACAATGTAAATTAAGATGAATATTTTATTGTTAACGTTTGGGTAGAAGGAATTAGAGAGACACTTCTGGAAATGAAGAAAGAATGTAAACAACTGGAGTAACTGAGAAGCAGCATAAGGTGTAAAGTGAAGTTATTTATATAAAATTGAAAAAGATGAAAAAATAATGGAAAGAAAATATTACTATTATTAATAATAATGACCCAATTAATGATTGTCATGACCTACAATTATGACGGGCAGGTTCCTTTATAGTCATAAGTCAAGGACTACCTGTATGATGGCCAAGAGGGGGGCCAGGGATGCTGGGTGTAAGGAATGCTGTGAGGCCAGTAGGGATCCAACAGTTGGCATCTCATGAGTAGCTAGAACTACGTAGCATGAGGGATGTTGCACTTGAGTTCATATTGAATCACTCATTGTGCACTTCTCCATCATGGAAGCGATTGCTGGGTTTATTTCAAAGCCAACATACTTGTGTATGATTTTCACTTTCCTTCAAAAAAGAAGAGCCACCCTTTTTAGATCAGGCCAAACATCTTGACTTAATCCAGCGTTTTGCTTTCATCACGAATATCCCGATATCTCTAACAAGCAGGACTTGAACTGACTCAGCACCTCCCCCTTAGCACCATCTGAGTTGGATGGTGCTTCTTATTTGGCAACTGGCATTGAATCATTTTGATTAGCAGCCACTGATAGATTTGTACTTCATGAATGGGTTTAATTCTTTAAAGCCAACCAAGTTGGCAGGCATGCCTGCATTCTCTGGCAGCAAATTCTGTGGTTTAATTAAATCTGTTGTAAATGAGTTTTGGCACCAATAGCAAAAGAAGAAAATTCCTTCCTTCCTTCTTTCTTCTTTCCTCCCTCCCTCCCTTTCATAGATATGGTGGGATGTAATCCAGAGTTGCTGGAAGGAGGGGCTCCTTTCCAGAGGGCAAAGAGACACACAGCTGGAACGTCTGGTGACCCTCCCTAGCAATTCACAGGGGTATGTCTATAGTTATTGCAGATAATCTCTTTAATCTGGCAAGATTCTGTCTTTAGGCAGATAACACTGGAGGAACTACTCAGAAGTAACTCCACATGTTATTCTTGGTTCTTTGGGCCTGATATGAACAAGCCTTAGGGCCAAAATTTTCTTTTCTTTCTACTTACTTTCTTTTTTCTTTTTTTAAAAGAACTTTCAGAAGTTCTGTCCAGAAGCATATAAGGGTATTGCATACCCTTATTAAGTACTGCATTCTTCTTTCTTCTTCTTTCTTCTCCTTCTTCCTCCTCCTCCTCCTCCTCTGCTTTTTCTTCCTCCTCCTCCTCCTCTTCTTCTTCTCCTTCTCCTCCTCCTCCTCCTTTTCCTCCCCCCTCTTATATCTCATGGAGCTGAGTGAGAGGCTAATCTGTGTCTCTTTGTAATATTCTCCCTCTCACTAGACTTAACTTGCTTCTTCTGCTACTGGGGTTCCTTCAATGATCTCTTGGTCACCTCCCTTGCTCTCTACAGTCTACTCCTGTAGATGCCAGAGTCTTCAGGAAACAGTTCAATTTCTGAAATTCCTGTAACTCTGAACCGTTCTTATTAATTTTTCTCAAGAGACTCTGAGAGCCACAAAGTTACATTTGGTACAAGCAGATACCAAAGGATATAACATCAGGTCCACTGATTTAAAATATGGGTTGTGTATGGGTTGTGTAAAGTCCAGCACTCCATGTGATGTTGCCTAATAAATTTAGGGAATCCTTTTGGATTTATGGGCCAAGATATCTACCAGACTTACATAATAGTCTTTGCAACAGCAATCAAATCCAGAAAGCACACACAGGTAACTGATTCAGCAGGATTCATTAATTTCTCTTTATATCCATAATAACACATGAAAGAAATATACAATACCTGTAGGAAGTTAGAACTCACCCCTCTCCTAGAAGAATGAAATATTTTAGGAAATATTAAAAAGGCAGAATATATTTCCCTCGATGAGAAATGGAGAAACATGTTTTAAAGACAAAGCAGCTCCCACCTTCCTGCCCCCCCCCCCTTTGTCAATAGGACAGAGGCAGAAACCCAATTCCCTCCCCCCTTTGTCAATGGACCATCATCTGCAACACAATAGGACCCATCTAGCAACAGAAACTCACCACATGGCATCTGGGAAGATTACATCAGCCAGTAAGGCTAGCTAAGATCCCCCCACCCACTGGGAATCTGACAACCAATCAGGATACTCTTCTCCTGTGCCCCAGGAGGTTCAAAGCCCAGAGAGGGCATAAAACCCAGGGACTCGCAGCATCTCAAGGGCAGGTCTTGAGAATGTTATCTGGGAGGAGTTTGATCCTGTGACTCCCGAGTATGTGGACAGGGTTCTGGGTAAGATTAGTGCCGCCACGTGTTTATTGGACCCGTGTCCCTCCTGGTTGGTACTGGCCTCCCGGGAGGTTACACGAGGCTGGCTCCAGGGGATTATAGATGCTTCTCTGAGTGAGGGTGCCTTTCCTGCCGCCTTGAAAGAGGCGGTGGTGAGGCCCCTCCTCAAGAAGCCTTCCCTGGACCCGGCTGAATTAGCCAACTATCGTCCAGTCTCCAACCTTTGTTTTGTGGCGAAGGTTGTTGAGAGCGTGGTGGCACGACAACTTCCCCGGCACCTGGATGAAGCTATCTATCTAGACCCGTACCAGTCGTGCTTCAGGCAGGGGTAAGGCACAGAAACGGCATTGGTCGCGTTGGTGGATGATCTCTGGAGGGCTCGGGACAGGGGTTGCTCCTCTGTCCTAGTCCTATTAGATCTCTCAGCGGCTTTTGATACCATCGACCATGGTATCATGCTGCAGCGGTTGAGGGGGTTAGGAATAGGGGGCACCGTTTTGCGGTGGTTCTCCTCCTTCCTCTCCGACCGCTCGCAGTTTGTGTTGGCAGGGGGACAGAGGTCGACCTCGAGGCGTCTCACATGGGGGGTGCCGCAAGGGTCAGTCCTCTCGCCCCTCCTGTTCAATATTTATGTGAAGCCGCTGGGTGAGATCATCCGTGGTTTTGGGGTGAAGTGCCATCTGTACGCTGATGATACTCAGCTGTACATCTCCACCCCAGACCACCCCAACGATGCCCTTGATGTGATGTCTCGCTGCCTGGAGGCCGTGCGGGTCTGGATGGGGAAGAACTTGCTCAGACTCAACCCCTCCAAGACCGAGTGGCTGTGGCTTCCGGCGCCCCGATATAGTCAGCAGGTGCCATCGCTAACTATTGGGGGTGAATCTCTGCCCCCCACAGACAGGGCTCGCAATCTGGGTGTCCTTCTGGATGCACGGCTGTCTTTAGAAGAGCACATGACGGCCGTGGCCAGGGGGGCCTTTTATCAGGTTCGCCTGATTCACCAGTTGCAGCCCTTTCTGGATCGGGAAGCCCTACGCACGGTCACTCATGCCCTTGTTACTTCCCGGTTGGACTATTGTAATGCTCTCTACATGGGGCTCCCCTTGAAGAGCACTCGGAGGCTCCAACTGGTCCAGAATGCAGCCGCGCGGGTGGTTATGGGCGCAACTCGTTGTGCCCATGTGACACCCCTCCTGCGCGAGCTGCACTGGCTCCCAGTGGTCTTCCGGGTGCGATTCAAGGTGTTAGTTACCACCTTTAAAGCACTCCATGGCATAGGACCCGGGTACCTCCGAGACCGTCTTCTGCCACCAATAGCCTCCCACCGACCAGTTCGCTCCCACAGAGAGGGTCTCCTCCGGGTGCCATCAGCCAAGTTATGTCGGCTGGCGACACCCAGGGGGAGGGCCTTCTCTGTGGGAGCCCCAGCCCTGTGGAACGAACTGCCCCCGGAAATACGTAAGATCTCCGATCTCCAGGTGTTTCGCTGCGCACTGAAGACCCTGTTCTTCCGCCAGGCCGGGCTATCAACATAATAGTTTTAAATTGGGGTATTTAAATTTTCTGGGGTTTTAAATTTGAGCCAAATTTATTTAATTATTTTAAATTTTAATCATTGTTTTGTCTTGTGTTTTTAAATAGGCTGTACACCGCCCTGAGTCCTTCGGGAGAAGGGCGGTATAGAAATAAAATTATTATTATTTATTATTATTATCTCGGCTGTTTTCTGTTCAGGAACTCAAACCATGTGATCCTGTCCACCATTAAACCATCTTCCCAAGCAGTCTCCATGTTTCCAGTGTCTTTTCCCCCACTTGGAGCTGAACCCATAAGGATATTTCTTCCAACAATACCAAAAGCAGGTTTTTCCAACGTGGTAGTAGTTACAGGCAAAACACAGGCAGAGGAGAGAAGTTTTCCGTTTCAGTTCAGAGAGCAGACTAGTTTCAGTTTCAGTTCTCAGCACAGCACTCAGAGCTAAGCACAGCTAAGCCACGCCCAGGCTCCTTGCTGTCTCAGCTCCCATTGGCTGACCTTGTTGCTATGCCCTATTCCAGTTCATGAACATTCTTACAGTCCCCACTCGGAACTGTCTATATACAGCACTCAGATATTTCCTTAACAGCTCTTATGTCCTTGGTTAGGACTTGAACTGTTAAGATTTTACCAGTCCCAGACTGGGAATTGAATTAAAGATTAATTCTTCTTCTTCTTCAACAACAACAACAGAGTTGGAAGGGACCTTGGAGGTCTTCTAGTCCAACCCCCTGCTCAGGCAGGAAACCCTCTACCATTTCAGACAAATGGTTGTCCAATCTCTTCTTAAAAACTTTCAAATCAGGGAGAAATATTCCAAGTTCCAACTCTTCCTTCCTAGTCCTCCAAATACTCTTAAGATTTCAGTCGTTTAAATCTGGCAGAAATTATCTAGCTGTAAAAACACGAATATTTCATTTCTGCATTTCAAACCAAAGATACAAGGTACGGACTTGCTGGCTGCACTTTTTCTATTAACATATTATCCGAAATCTACTGCCAAGGTTGCCCACTCGGTTCTGTGATGACATAATATATCACCTTGGAGATTGAAAATATATACGTATTTTAAAAATGCAGACCGACTGCCAAAGGTCGATTGTTTCCAGCTCATTAGATGGAGTATTCATTTCCTTTCCAACATGATGTGGATTCCTCCGGGTATTAAAATTGATTTTGTTATCGTTGTGCTTTAATTATATCGGGTAGTTTTTTTAAAAAAAATCTTACAGGATGTAAAGTAGGATCTGAACCATTTGTTTTAAATAAAGTTAAGGTAAAGGTAAAGGTTCCCTTTGCACATATGTGCTAGTCGTTCCCGACTCTAGGGGGCGGTGCTCATCTCTGTTTCAAAACCGAAGAGCCAGCTCTGTCCGAAGACGTCT